GTTGTAGACAATAGCACTCAGTTTTGCGTCGAGTCGTTTTGTTACTTCTCTAGTAGTAAAGTTAATGAGGTTATCTACCTTAGTTACCGATTCTGTGTCAAGTTTGTTAAGGTTTACAGTTTTCATGAGGATAGTTAGAGGTGTCACTTCACAGACCTGCGATCTGATATCGCTGATCTGATCTGATAATTTGGATATCTCGGTATTGGTTTCAATGCTTTTAGCATTAAGTGACTTGTTTTTTATTTCCCTTTACTCAGCCTTAAATTTTCCTATAGACAACTTTAGAAGTTCTATTTCTGAAGATAGTACTGAAAAAGAGCTTGATGGCTGGAGTTTTTCGATAAGCACATAAGGTGTTGGGAGAGGTTCTGTATGAGCAGAGGGTAGTGAATTTTTAGGAGTAGTGCTGATACTAGCTGTCAGTACAGTTTTATCCTCAGTTCCAGCTCGACGCTTAGGGCATACAAGTGAGTTATGTGACTCACTATAACCGTTTGTAGGGGGTGTGTTGCTTGATGTGGCAATCAGGGACGTGAAATCAGTCACCAGTTTTATAGGAGATTGGGTTCGTTGCTTTTTACTTTGAATAGCCATAACTATTAGAAATGGGAGTTAATGGTTACAGGTATGGAAGTAGTATAGTACTTGTGCAAGTATTACAGCAAGATAAAAATAGTTCCAGCATTTATGTTTACTTCTATGTAATTTACAGATTTCTCGGTTTACCCAAAGAAGCAATGTTTCCGAACCTTTGGGACAGACCAAGGCGTGAAATGTTCAGTTACTTGGGCGTAAAGTTGTTTGAGCCAGTTCCATGCGGCTTCTACTTGGGACTCTGGCTTGGTGTACCAGTTCAACGAGTTGGCTGCTGAGACGATCGCATTTGTATCAGCTTTCCAAATGCTTGGTCGAACTGGCATCTTGGCCCATGATACTACTGCTGTAAACTTGAAAGTGAGCACAGCGTGGTCACTTCTTCGCAAAGAAAGGAGATGTTCTATGAGATCCACATCCTCACTATCGGAGAACAATGGGTTCAGAGTTGAATAGGAGTGCTGTGAGTCAGACAGCAAGTGCCTAATGACATGTTTGACTAGGGCTAGCGAAATGCTACATTCAAGCAGTTTATGATCAAAGGAGTTTTCTGAAGATGGCGTTGTAAGGCTTGTCCACTCTACTGTTGGGGCGTTGAAGCCACCGCCTACGAGACTGCAACATTTCGATGTCCAGATATCATCGGCACTGCAGTCAGGACTGCGGCATATAGCAGTGAGATCAATATCTTAGCCTATGCATTTAATTCCGCAGCGTAGAAGTTCGCACAATTCACTTTCTAGAGAGGGGTCGCTTCGATGCCACACACGATTAAGCATTTCACAAGGTAGATGACTACACCACCTCCTTTGTGGCCTAGTCGGTCCACCCTATGCGATTTGAAGCTTGGCAGGTTAACTTCGTCATCGGTGATATCGGGTTGAGCAATGCCTGTGGATGATAATACATCCGGATTTCTGGAGTCGATCATATTACCCAGCTAAGTTCATTTAATCAGCAGGCTATGGGCGTCTGTGCACCAAACTGTCAATTTAGTTTGGTGCTTCCGCAGCCTACACACAGAGGTCTCGGAATGATAAAACCTCAAAGTTCGACTACGTGGAAGTCCTCAATTTTAAGGTTTTTCGCCGTTTCAGCGTCATTCACTTAATTCTATGGCCTTGGACTGTCTCTTGACATGGTGCACTAGGCATAAATCTGCATGAACATATATTCCTGATGCTTTAAGAGTTTGTTTGATAGTTTCTTAGAATGGCATCTCTCTCTCTCTTTTCGGGAGTTGAGTACGACTTTGAGAAGGCGTACCAGCTGATTTACTGTCGAGTCAGGCTTTCGGTCAATTCCATATAAGGTGCATGGTTGTGCCTGATACTGTTGTTGGCACTAACTTATCTAAAAGGGGCTTGACCAAGCTAAGACCATGCTCGAACCTGATCTCGGGATCGGAGGCCGGTGATTACTCCACTTTGTGGAGAATGAGACCTATAAAATAAATCAGGTTCGCTTAGTGTGGCTTTCTTGTTCTGCAGCGTAGGCTACTTTCCGTCCTCCGTGGACAGTGTGGCCATCGTGGTGTCCTATTCTTGGTTTTTGCGGGATATTATATTACGCCATTCGTTGGCTTCCCTCTCGCTGACCGCAGTCGATCGTGTCTGCCTGCTATCCACCGGTGTATATGAGGCTTGATCCACAAGTTTCTATGAGATTTTAACTGCAGGTTTTCGACCCCTGATACGCCTCTTCTTTGCGCTAGTCTTTCTATTACCGTCACTAAAGGGCTTATCCATTATCGTCTGGGGTAGTATGCGCGTCTGGAATGCGGTGGGTGCTCTTCTGTGCTGAAGGGCACTCACTCCCTGACAGAGACGCTTCAGGAAGGTGTAGTGTCTTGGCGATGATGCCTGTCACGTCATTGATGTCTATGCTGTAGTCGCTCTCCTCATGTGGTGGAGGACCTCTGCAGTCCAGGAGCTCTAGAGTCCCACTGAGAGCAGCAATAGATTCCGATATCCGAAACCTGGTCGTAGTACAGCAGTCATTAGGACAGGAAGATTCAAAACATGCCCTTATATATGGCTTGTATGTGAATCAGCGATAATAAAAACCAATGAGTGTAGAAAAAAGGATATATATATATATACAAAGTTACAAAAATTAAACTTCCTAGGAGTAAATAGACTAAAAACTGAAAAGTTCACTAACTTCGATCGAAACGAACTGATTTAAAGTCAATCTATGGACTTTTGGAGGATATAACACAACAAAAGCCGAAAATAAACAAGAGCAAATAAAAGGCAATGGATAGTGGCACACGCAGCTTATAGAGAGGCTGAGCACTTTAAGGTCACTCAGTATATTGTGATTGGCCGGTTTTCATTTGCGTAAACGCTGCGGCTAATACGTAGCACACGTGACTGAGGCGGGCTATGAAATGGTAAAAATAAAAGTCGCATAAACATCACATTTTTCAGCTTAATCGGACAAGTTAACATATGTGCAAATTTTACAGATGTGATATGCATTGGATCCAATAACAAAAAGAATATTATTGGGTAACCTAAACAAAGAAGTATGGAGTTTGAAGATTTAGTCTTTTCTCAGCTTGCTGTAAAGGGAGAATAGGAGAGGCAGTTGTGTAATATTTGCATTTTGCAGGAGACAAACTGTGAAAGGTAAATCGAAAGTTCCATAATTCTTCATATCTGCCATGGAATGTATAGACTAATCCTACCGATTCTATTATTGATCCCTGCCTTTTCACATACTCATTGTGGTTGAGATAAGGAATTGTTCACCTGAGGTAAGATGAATTCACCTGATATGTATACATCCTTAGATATTTCTCGACGCAGCCGGAGGTGGTCGAAGGAATACAATCTCTTTCCTCGCATGGAAAGATCATAACCAGTTTCTTCTGAAGGATTAGGTGGTGCTGAAAGCTGTAAAGACGGGTCGGGTGTCACTATCATCTGAGGGAAACTATCCACATATTGTGGATGAAGCTATCAGTGGACTTTAATTTGACTATGATGTGGCCATAAAAAATCTACAACTGTGATTTTTTCACTGAATTGTTGTAAACCCTTTTTATTGGGAATATGTACTGTTTGACTGTCGTTTATTTTGTAAATGTATGCATTTATGCCGACTACTTGTATCTCTTTTACTTATCATTTCGAGGACAGTGCATAGTTAACGACATTGATAGGCATCGCAGTAACATTTGTGTGAAATGCGTCATAGGCGTAAAACATTATTATTTCCTCAGTGCGTCATCAAGCCTCGCATGAAATGTTTCAGTTACATTCAATCCGGTTGCGCATATTATAAACATGCATCCGTGTTAAGAAGGAAAGAGCGTCAAACATGTGTTTGTATTGTAATAATGAAATACAGTAAGCCTTTTGTTATGTACTGTCAAATTCGTAGACCATAATTAGTCATCATATGCGTGCAACATCCCAGTTACATTCAGTCCGACTGCGTAAAAGATTACCTTTCATCAGGGCTAGCGAAAAATTATACGTTGAGCTTATGTTTGTTATGCGATTAATACATATACACAATTGCAAATGTAGGACGGCTATGTACATCGAAAATAACGCATTATAGGTGTATCCTATTGAAGATAACTATCCTAGTGTTTTTATGCTGCACAAATTATCACTCTTTCAAAGAAAATCATTACGCATTCCAAAACCGGCTACATCACTATTCCTTCGACAAGCAAAGGGTAGCAGTAGTACAAGAATACCGTTAAATCTTTTAAGAAACATTCATTTTGATAAATAATTTTAGAATATCACAAAGATTCCAACATTAACACGCAAATTCTTCAATTGCACTTCATCAAAGCCTCCAAATAAAATGAACCATTGCGTAAATTACAATCAACCTGCAAATCAACAACAGTAAAACATCTGATACCAAAAAATTAGCAATATAAAAATGCCACAAACCAAAGTACCCTCTAGGAAAACCTTGTTCACTCACTGTTATCTTACGAGTAAATCAACTCACACTCCTTTATAACTGTAAAATCTTGTGACTGTTACCAAGTTTTCATAACTCACAGATTCAAAACACCACTTCAGCATTTCGCAAAATATGCATCAACAACCTAATTCATTTCGTTTTTATTACAATAATCACCAATTCACACAGAATTTTAACATTCCACATGCAAAGAAACAACGAAATTCGATGACAGATACATGTTCATTCAAACTGCTGAAAACGTCAACTTTCCACCAATTTTCCAAGTTTTTCGTCAAAACATAGTATTTGTAATACAGTTCATTTTAAAAGACACCTGAAAACAACATAGAACAACTCTAATACAACATCGCGATAACACACAACTACACCCCTTGTGTACCTCCATTGATTTCCAAAATAAAATTCACTCCATTTTCAAAGCTCGCGCGGAAATTCACTGCAGACGAGGGACCTTACAACCCAAAGTAAGCACAGAGAAATCAATTTAGTTTACACTGGCGTGTAAAAATAATATTGGATATTGTAAGTTGTGATTTCGTTTTGTTTAGTCCAATGAGTGCAAAATACACGGCACGCGCAATTTGCTAGCTGGCGTTCTTCCCCTGTGGTTTGACGGACGATGTTGCAAGACGTAGTGATAACCAAGCTTTTCTTACCAGAGCGACGAGGAAATCTCTTACTGACAAGCATAAAACAAGAGCCAACTTCGGAAGGCTGCCCCTCTGAAGTCTCGTCGGCTCCAGTAAGTTTATGGTATAAATTATGCTTTTACGAGTTTGGCCACGGATCGATATCAGGTTGAGAACCATTGAAAACCAGGGAGTATTGGACAGCTACTGTTTCATCCTAGTTTGGGAATCATCGGCTGTGTGAGCACACACTGCCAGGATTCGAACCCAAGACCTAGCGGTTACAAGGCTAGCGAGCTCGTATACCACCTGGCTACTGGGACCCGATTCAACGGCCAGTGCATGAATTCTAACTTCTACCAATTCGTGACTTAGCGCGACCACCAACCAGTGTCATAGGCGGGAAATCCATCCTCACATTTGACTGGATGTGCGCTACTGGTCATGACTTATCTCTAGAACTTCAGGAAACTCCGTCCTGTAGGAAGTCACTAGTAAGCATCAGATTAATTTTCAAGAGTTGGTTTGTAGGGATTAGATTTGTTTTTGCGAATTTGACCTCGGATTGATATCAATTTAATCCTTACAAGCCAACTCTTGAATATATTATGCTGTTTTTAGATTAAGTCTGCGTTTAGTTGCCCAATCTACTTCATTGATTTTGTACAGATTGAATTAAGTATCAGAAATAAGACTTGTATTCACACTGGTTTCGCTAAAATTCTCCTGGTAAACGCCATTTTTGTAATCCGTGCGGACTGGATAATTGTAGTGGTATTATGAAATTTTAGCATCCAATGTCTTAAATGCGTGCGAATTCAGCTTCCCGGAAGGCTTTAAGCAATCCTAGAGCAGAGGATACAATTTCATTTGATTGTAACACATTTAATTGGGTGTCGAACGTCATGTCTGTTGGGGTAGCCGCTATGATTTTTCTGCATCGGTTGATATTTGTATACATGGTTTACACCATGTTCATATCGCAGAATAATCTCAGTATTACGAAGCAATGCTACACAATTTCCTGCCTTTCACTTCCTTCACACCACCTATACGTGTCATCACAGTTACTTCCTGCTACTTGTGCTTCCCAATGGTGTTATAAAAACATTTATTATTGATTGCACAGTTCCGCGAAACAGTTGACTGCGTATAAATGATGTAGTTTCAGGGAAGGCGGTAGGGATTAAGTTCGTTGTTTGCATATAAGTAGCATGTAGTACTAAAATTGTCTTTAGGGACAAAGAATGGTAGGTTTAATTTTGCAGGGAAACTAATTTTGTGATGTTTATATGACATTTGTAGACATGAATCTTGAAACTAATACACTTAGTCAGTTGTTTGCTGTTGTGACACATATTTGTAGGCATCTCAGTTAAATCGTGACACTGGGTATCCGGTTGAACTTATGTTTACAATTCATTTTGTGGCAGGAGAAGTGGGTTGTGTCATTGGGAATGAGGTAGAACATCCATTGGGAGGCTTATATCTACGTTTTATCACTGAGCAATCTGCGGAAGTGTTCTTGTTCAGCAACATAACTGAGTCTCTGAAGACTTCTTTATTGAATAAAGCTACCTAAACAGAACCTTGTTATATGATAGTAGTGATACTGATGTTGGTGCGGAGTTAAAGAATAGAGAATCGATTATAGAATCTTGAACAGACTCTTAGTGTGGTTCAATATGAGTTTCACCATTATTCTTCATCTCGAAGGTACAATTTGTTCTCAAATCGTTTTGGAGTGGATACTATGTTATATTTTATATTAATTCCACATAGATTTTGTGTATTCCGTGTATGAAATATCCACGATTGTACATAAGCTTTATCTTTGTAGGTTACGGAAATTTCTGAGCCTACTCAATCTAATAGTCGAACTCGATTTACAAGGTCGCAAAGCGTCACCTGTCCACCACCTTACTTTACTTCATCTGAACACATAACCCTCCCTGGAAATACTTTCTACACTTGGTCAAGATTTTGTCAGCAACCGATTTCTGGGACGCTGAGTGGACATCTGAACGAGTCTAATGGACTTGTTGTAGGAAGTTCTGTACCTGCTGTAACCAATCTCGATGATTCCACTCCCCTCATCGTACCCAGTGCAATTCGTCAGCGTACACCACATGATGTAAATGCTTTTCCATGTCTTCTAGTGCTATTTTGTTTAAAAATTCGTGTTATGACTTCTTAATCAAGAGTTAGGTCAGTAATTATGTAGTGTCTTTATTATCACTTCAGTTTTAATGCATTACAAGAGTGTTCTTGAGATGATACCAGTTTTTACCCAGTTTGGGTTTATCTGAAAGTCATTTGAATATTACTGGTACTGGAAACAACGGATACATTTTTTATCCGCTTATTTGGATTCATTTTAATTGGTTAAACTCTTAACTCATTTGTGCGAAAATTCATAACAAACCATCTGCTCTTATATTGCAAGAGTTTGACTGATTCTAAGTTATATTACTGACTACCACCGGTTAGAGGATCACAGGGTTACTGGACAGCCCACAACTGACTGGCTACAGGATGGAGTTACTGGGTGTTTTGGTGAAATGTCGTGACCAATGACGTCCACCAGGTTGGATTCAAGGGCGGAGCTCGCTGACAAGACTGGTGGATGGTAGCGCTATATGTCGCGAATGGACAGAATTCATGATCCATTGGATTCTGTCCCAGTGGTCGAGTGGTGAATGGACCCGCTTCGCAAATTGAAGACCCAGAGTTCAATCCCTGATGGGGTAGTAAGTGTGTACTGTTGGAGAGTCTCAAATTAGGACGAAAGAGCTGTCCAGTACTTCCTGGTGTTGTTTCTTTGACTGATGTCAGTTTGTGATGTGACTTGAAATCATCTCTTACAGTGTGTACTCACATATAAAAGCAACAAAATGGTAAGTGTAAGGTATGAAATCGTAGAATACATAAATATTATAACCTGTATCACAGTAAGTGTATTCCTAATAAAATAATCTCAAGGATGGAGCAGGTAGGTTTGAGTCTGATTACTGTGTCTGTCACCTACTTTTCCATACATAGTTTAGAACAGGACTGAGAGATAGCAACAGCTGCCTACCATAAAATCTCTTTGAGAGCAAGCTTTCTTGGTTAACATTGTCCTAGTGGCAGGTATTAATTGAGCTCATGCAAGCTATGATGTGGTCATCCAAACTGTAGTGATTTAATCATTTCAGTTGATGAGTTGTAGTTGTTATCAATGTGACACTTCAAGCATTACGGTGATCAATTACTTCATGTCATGTGTACCTATATTTCCCAATTGCAATACTTTAACAACAGTAGGTAGAATACCTCGTCTGCAGTGTATATTGAGTGTTTTGAATTGTTTTTGAACCGTGACTTTTCTTTACAAGTAACCAATGTTTTCCCGTCAGTTGGCCGGGGAATCTAATTCTGCACCACATGTGTGGATGGCGACCATTTGACCGCTGTGCTACGAACGTCCACGAACTTGTATGGCCACTGTAATTACAGATAAAGAATAAACAGTGAGCAAAACAGCGAACAAATATATTCACATGTAGGTCAGCTAGTACATAATAATGGCCAAGAATAGTCAGCGTTATTTCAAAAAGGATGGAGTGAATAACACTCCCCATATCATTTCCATCCATCTTAGCTCTCTTAAGACTAATTAAGGTATCCAAAGTAGTTCATATATGAAATTGATAATAGTGAATTAATTATTAAAGCAAAAGCAAACTAAAAGTAAAATTAAAGATTAAGAACAAAATCGAAAATATTTTTTAACAGGGAAGGATAAGTGAAGAGGTTAAGACCAAGGTAGAATAAGAGACTGGACAAACTTTTTCTGTATACAGAGATCAGGGTTGTATTGATGTATTGCCAGCGCCTCCGCCATACACAAAAGCCGGAACCTGACGCCTTTTGTACAATTTGGCTTCACTTTGTAGATGATGTTGAAAGACGACTCTGGTGGAGCTACGTGGCCTGAGTTCACCAAATGCTCGAGAATTGAGCTAGTAATTTTCTTGTATTGTCCCTTTGCCAACCATGCCGGATAATGTTCAGAGATGCGTTTGGAAAGCGTGCGCTTTGTGCGGCCAATATAACTTGCTCCACACGAGCATGTGAATTTATAAACACACATTGAGGTGGCCCAAAGCGGCAGCTTATCCTTTACACATCCATTGATCATTCGTCGGCTGTAGAAATTGATACGTAGCTCAGCCATAAAGAAGGCTTTCCTCAGTGATCTGCGTAAGCGATTCTTCAAGATCTCAGCTGCAGTATCACCTTTAAATTCAACACTCATAAAGAGCAGTTTCTTCGGCACAGTCTGAATTCTTTCGGGCTTTTCTCTTAGCTTCATGTTTTTCTCGATGAATCTTGGAGGATATCCATTCTCTAAGAGAACTTGTCTGAGTCGCTCCAATTCCCCATCGATTGTATCACTTGAACATATCCTCCTTATTCTTGAGGATAGGGAATGGATCAAATTTCTTTTTCTTCTTAAAGGGACCCAGCTATGGAAATTTGTGTACTGACCATTCCATGTTTGTTTCCTGTAGATCGATCTTTGAAGAGAGCCATCAGATCTCCTCTTTAGAAAAACATCCAAAAAGTGGAATTCCGAGTTAATCTCTGATTCCGACGTGAATTTGATGGCATGATGGCAGCTGTTGAACTCATTAGTTATCAATTCGACGTCAGTATTGTCGTCACATATGATGAAGGTATCATCCATGTATCTTAGGTACAGATGGAAACTATCGATAGTAGGCCATAAAATACTATTCTCCAAACTGGCCAAGAAGCAATCTGCAAGTAAAGGACCCAGTGGTGACCCCATTGCTACTCCATCTCTTTGTCTATATATCGTGTTGTTGAATTTGAATTGGACATTTAGAGTGCACCTCAAAAGTAGTTCCTTTAAGTAGTGTATCGGAACACATACGTCCAAATTATTATCTTCAATGAATTTGCATAAAAAGCAGATAGTTTCAGTGAGGGGAACGTTGGTGAAAAGCGAAGTAACATCCATAGATATCATTTTCTTCCCAGATACATTAGCATCATTTATTGAGTCGACGAATTCAAACGAATCAGAAACACTATGCTTGCAGAGATTATTTCTGATAGGTAGGAGGATTTCTGTGAGCCATTTGGCAGTAGCATGATATGGAGAATTTTTCATGTCCAGGATTGGACGTAGTGGCACGTTCTCTTTGTGCACTTTTGGCAGACCATATAAACGGGGAATCACGGAACCGGAGGGTCGTATTTGCTCGAATAATTCAGAGCTAATAATCGATTCGTTCTTCATATTCTTCAGCATTTGTGTTATCTTGCTTTCAATTTGTTCCGTTTGGTCTTTCTGGCTACTTTCTTTTGAAAATTTGTTTTCATCTGACAAGACTGATAACATTTTATCGATGTAGTCTTGGCGATCCATCAGGACAATGCCAGAACCTTTGTCGGGGCGTGTCACAACCAAGTCTTTGTTCTTTAGAATCTCACGCAATTGCTTTCTGTGCTCGGCTGAAATCAATCTTCTGGCTTTTGGTTGCGTGTTGATGTACTGATGGCAGCTATTTAATACTGTAGACTTGAATTGTTCATATGATTTGTTGGACGCTGCAGAAAGGTCATTTGTCTGTTGGATCAGTGCTTCAAATTGGACTTTGATATCCAAGTCACTCGAGTTTGTCGAAATATCGCAGAATTTTGGACCCAACGACAAGGCTTGCAATTGGACAGGAGTCAATGATATACTAGAGTAGTTGAAGACGTATTTTTCTGGTTTGGCAGGAAAACAAGACTAAGTGTCAGCGGCTTTGAGGCTGTTCGCGAGTTTCAGGTTTACATCTTCACAGCGTCTTCTTGAAACTGACTCGATGTAGTCCATGAAACTTCTCTGCTCGTCTTCTGTCAGCTCATATAGAGCATGTGTTCTTAGTGAAATGTTTCTCTCTATCTCCGGTAGGCGAGATTTTATTTCATCGATGACGTTCAGTGTATGACGTTTCAAAGAGCGATGGTTTGGGTGAATATGATTGCGACGAAGACATTTCCAGAAGTGCTTGGGATATTCTTTCTTATCAATACAGCTCTTCAGAAAACTGATTCTCGCATTCGCTATGGCAAGCTTGACAGAAAACTTAAGAAACGTATCAAGCTCTTTCACTGTCACAGGGTTCTTGCTCTGTTTCAAATCACGGAAAATACCCATTGAGTCATGAAGAAAATAAAAGACGGATTCAGCCACGTAGCTCCACCAGAGTCGTCTTTCAACATCATCTACAAAGTGAAGCCAAATTGTACAAAAGGCGTCAGGTTCCGGCTTTTGTGTATGGCGGAGGCGCTGGCAATACATCAATACAACCCTGATCTCTGTATACAGAAAAAGTTTGTCCAGTCTCTTATTCTACCTTGGTCTTAACCTCTTCACTTATCCTTCCCTGTTAAAAAAATATTTTCGATTTTGTTCTTAATCTTTAATTTTACTTTTAGTTTGCTTTTGCTTTAATAATTAATTCACTATTATCAATTTCATATATTTTCACACCTTCTTCACACTTGTTAAATTGACACTCTAATAACCTTAGTTCATATATATTTATAGGTTCGGATTGTTTGTTTCATATCATGATTGAAGTTCTTTCAAAACCATCATTGATCTACATTTTTTACTTTATATTTTACGTCAGGATCAGTGTTCATCAAGTAACGTGATTCATAATACAGCTTCCGCAGACACACGCCTACATTTGGCGACAGGTGGTGAGTGTGTTAATTCGTTACCATTTGGTAACGACACTCTCTCTGGTTCTTCATCTGGTGTCACTCTTCCTCCAACAACGCAATCTTCTGGACCTAGGACTTCTGATGCATTTAATCATCGCCCAGTTCATTCAGCTGTTCGTAATAGATGTACGTTAGTTCCCCGTCCCACACCACTATCAAAAGGATGCACCCAACCGGAAACCGGTGTATTGCTGAATTCACAGCCACCAATGGTAAACACTTGTTCCCAACAATTAGGAAGTAATATGCAAAATCCAGTTGTATCTACAGTCGATCCGAACAGAGTAAGTGTCGAGAATGATTATCAAAATGGTAGTTTCAATTTAAAAATATCTTGTGCATTTAAACTGTTATTTTCATCGTCTTATCTACACGTGGATATAACAGACTAAAGATTTGTTTTACACGTCAATAATGTTCGTTATTTTTGTGTCTCTGTTGATGAAAGACAACTGTTGTTTACATATTTCTATCATGTAACTAGGTATCTTTGTATTTCGGTACCTGATAAGGTTTCATGCCCATTATCCCGCTTTCTATTCAACTTCATCATAGATGTGTTAATGGACTTAACCCTAAGTGACTTCAGCGACTCAGGGACTGACTTGCTACCAGGGAATAATCTCGTTGACTTAGAATATGCAGACGATATAGTCCTTCTAGGCGAAGACGCTGACGAAATGCAGAGTCTTCTAAACACCTTGGGCCGCAATCTGCGAATTTTTGGCATGCGATTCGCTCCCGCCAAATGCAAGATGATGTTACAGGACTGGACTATATCGACGCCTAGTTTAAAAATAGGGAGTGAAGTGGTAGAGCACGTTAACCGCTTCACTTATTTGGGAAGTACCATCAGCCAGTGCCAACGGGTTGATCTCTGACGAAATCTCAGCACGAATACAGGGGGCTAGTTTCGCATTTGCCAGTTTACGCCGACTCTGGCGTAGACGAGATGTTCGACTATCGACCAAAGGGCGGGTGTACTGCTCATCAGTCCGCTCCGTCCTCCTTTATGGTTGTGAGACCTGGCCACTGAGAGTGGAAGACATGAAAAGACTAGCTGTCTTTGATCATAGGTGCCTCCGCTCTATTTCCCGTGTAAAGTGGCATAATAAGGTGAGCAACATTGAAGTTAGGCGTCGAGTTCTAGGTAAACAGGGGAAATCAATCGACGAAGTCGTGAAGTTACGAAGACTGAGATGGTTATGACATGTGTTACGTATACCAAGCCATCGCCTCCCTCGACGAGCAATGTTAGCGGATATAGGGTCAGGCTGGAAAAAAGCTAGCGGCGGTCAAACAAAAACTTGGCCTCACCAGTCAATGAAATCCACAACACTTGGTCTAAGCCACGTAGGAAGGTGTAGACTGGCTTACTGGTTGGGGTCCTCGGGACGGTAAAAATCTATGGTTGGAAACAATTGGTGACATGGCTCAAAATCGTTCTCAGTGGCGCAGATGCATCCACTCCTTGTGACTTATGATCTCCAATGAAACTGTTTTGTTCTTCGTTATTACTCCTGTGTCTCACACCTCTGCTCACTGTTTGTATTATGCTTTTCTTGTACTTTCTTCTCTTGCTTCGCGTGCTACACGGAGTGTGGCGACTTGAACTTCCGCACATTTATGCAAAGTTCTATGTCGAAAACAGACAGACAGACAGACAGATAAGGTTTCAAGGCAGGTTACCTATCCTCCGAGCTGAGGATCAGTGGTGGCTCTGTGTATTGGATCGCCAATGCCTTTGCAGATTGGTTTGCATTCAGGAGTGTTATCATCCACAACTCAGCAGTGGATTCTGGTCTAAGTGAGAACATCGCTTATTGATAAGCGGATATATCCAGCTGGTTAAGGAAAGTAGTATAGAATCCTTTCTATGTTATTATTAAACCACTGAATATCTTTCCATATTTGTGCATCTCAAAAGTTCATATTTATTTATATTTTAAACAGTTGTCAATCTCTTCAGCCGCCAACAGGATTAATGAACAAATTCTGAATCCTCCTCCTTCTATGGATGAAAATGTCCTATGGGGTCGTGTCACCCGAAACTCATCGGGAGATTTAAGATTTCCTGGCATAAATCGCACTTTTAAAAGTGTTTCTTCAGTCTTGAGACAAATTTATCAAACGGCTACAGCTGAAGACAGTTTGTCTTTACAGGTAGGTTTTTCATAGTTTATATTGATTGATTTGTTGATATGAGTAGTCAATGTTTACAGCCAAGTCATCACGAGTCTATTCTTCACTTTCCTCTGTGTTCAGACAGTGACCGATGATGAACTGATGAATAGTTCCTAACTACGACATTGTATCTTTAACTTCAATAGGTATATAGTTTGAAAATTATCAACCTTGATTTCGAGTGATTCGTTAAGTGATGCGGATTATTGTGATGAAATCTCCGCTGATATTAATCAGAGATCTGTTGTAATCATCATTCCCTTGAGTTCCGAGTGAAATATAGGGCTTCAACAACACATCTCCACTTTGTCCTATCTTCTGCCGTCCTCTTCAGCTTGGACCATGATTTCCCACAATCTCTCGTCTTCTCCTCTTACTCACACAATCTCCTCCATGTCACCGTAGCAATGACAACCCACTCGTCGCCGCTTCCCATTCGGGTGTCACTTGAGGAATGGCCTGCATTGTGCGCGACGTTATTTGACTGTCTCCTCAACTTATTTATGCCCAATCCATATCCATTTTCCCCTACATATTTGTTGAGCGAGTGGCTCTTCGTTGGTTTGTTCCCAGCCATAATTTCTTGTTTCTAATTCTTCCTGGCCATTTGATCTTTAGTATGGAGTCAGTCAGCGAGGTGGTCAGTTGTTGATGAAAGTGTGAAACAGGCTGTTGGAAATCCTTTTCGTGACTACTCACGCGCAGTGCAAGTTTCTGATTCACATAGAAGAATTGACTGACTGACTGACTTCAGATTTGTGTTGAGTAGAATTCGAATCTTGTTGTTTATGCTTCTGAGTGAGTGCAGAAGATCTCCGAATTGGTTTCAGATTGATGAGGGTGTATCTTGCCTTTCTTATCTTCTCTGACTGGCTTTGACATCTTCACCTGTTCTGATTGGCTGTAGTGGAATCGATGCTGGCTGGTTAGATAAGTGGAGGAGGCCACCTCAGTCAAATCTCTCTGGTTGATGGTGATTGGTGCTGCTTGTTGTTGATGTGGCGGTTGGTTGGTTATCTTCATCACCTTCGTCTACACCTTCTCTATATTCACCTGGAGTCCTGTCTTCGCTGTCTGTCTCACCTCTTGGGGCAGTTTGTTGGCTTTGCCTGCCTGGTTGCCTGTAAGTCTTCGAGTCTGTGTGACGTTCGACATATGTCATCCACGCGTGAAATCCAGATGTTCTAGAGTCTTCTTATCGGTGGTCCAGCGTATTCCTTTTTTCTCATTCCCCACGTCTAGCGTGATGCATAATGTAGTCCACCACAATTAAGAATATCACTGGTGATAATGGGCAGTCGGCTTGTCCTACTCCTGCATGCACTTCGAACGCCTCTCTGCGTCTTCCGTTTTGGATCACCTGACACGGGCCACTGTCATATTGTGTCAGCAAAAGGCAAGATATGGACGTCAAGGTATATTTTTGATTAATCAAACCGCTGTTTATACATGCATAGTTTATATTTGTTAACGAATCACTGAGCGTGTGATTTCGGTTTATGATATGTATCCACATATATATATTTATGTGTGTGTGTGCATGTTGGTCTCTCTTTCTGTTTGCTCGGTTAGTCTGTGACCACTTCACTTGTATGAACTTGTCTCCTTTAATAATGTGTATTCTCCTTATATTATATTATATATAATATGAGTGTTTGTTGACAGTCCGTTGCTTGGTGACATATATCCATATATGTTTGTTGGCATGTCTGCTATATTCGCTATGTATAATTGGATCGACACTCCATTATAATTAGCCATTCATGTTAAGACTGTCTAATGATTTTTCCCACGTTTGTCTGAATTATTTATATATATTCGCATTCACAATTTGTGTGAACTACTTTACTTTACAACTACTTTACTTACATACCACTTTGGTGTGAGACCATTTATTTTCGTCTCCTTGTGTTTGGACAATAGAAGTATCATCGCAAACCTAGTGGTCTTCTGATTTCCGCCTTCTCGCGTCAGGACTATTAGTTTCTCGACCAGTCCATAACAATAATTTAGCGACGAGTACATAACAATTTGGCGACGGGGAAACTAGTACATAACAATTTGGCGACGGGGAAACTAGTACATAACTGGCGACGGGGAAAACTAGTACATAACAATTTGGCGACGGGGAAACTAGTACATAACAATTTGGCGAAGGGGAAAACTACTATTAACCACACAGCAGCAACAACATAACAATTTACTATGGATCCTATTAAATTGGAATTATTGTTTGAACGACAAATGAAATTAATGGAAATGTTCGTCAACCAACAGACTGGTCCAGCTCCACTTTCAAGCAATCCCAATCATACCATGCTACCATCTGTCGACGGAATTGTGAACAGCATTTCACAGTTCAATTATGACCCAGAGGCTAATGTCACTTTTGACACATGGTATCAACGTTATGAGGATTTATTCACTGTTGATCTCGCCTCACAAGACGATGCCTGGAAGGTGCGAGTTTTGCTACGTAAATTGGGTCCGGCAGAATATGAACGGTACTGCAACCTAATTTTACCACAGAAACCACGTGACAATTGTTTCGATGATACAATAAAGTTGCTGCGTGAACATTTCGGAGACCACTCCTCATTATTCAGTATACGTTATCGTTGCCTCAAGCTGGCAATGAATGAAAATGATGATTTTCTTACTCACGTTGGCACAGTCAACCGAGAATGTGAGAGATTTCGACTCAGGTCCTTAACAGATGATCAGTTCAAAGCCTTGATTCTCATATGCAGCCTCCAATCTCCTCGTTTCACAGATATCCGAACTCGACTGCTCAATCAGCTAGAACAAAATCCCAAGTTAACATTACATGACATAGCTGATGAATATCAACGGCTGATTAATCTGCAGAAAGACACACACCTGGTCGAATCAACACCTTCGAGAAGCTCTGATATTCGTGCATTACGAAAGAGCGAAAATCTCTCATCATCCAGTCCTGACCCACCTACTTCTCTGATGTCCCGCGGAAATCTATACATACTCGTCCAACTTCACAAAATACGACAAAGAAGACCCCTCCATCACCATGCTGGCACTGTGGCGCGTGGCACTTTGTAAAGTCTTGTCCATACAAAAATCATCGTTGCAGCAAGTGCAAGATCATCGGTCACAAAAATGGTTTTTGTCAGCCACGCAAACCCAGATGTCAAAATCCAGCGAAAGCTCGAAAAACTGTTGGTCCTGAATCCCCCAAAAAGTCATTGAGTCTACGCGCAACCCGTCAAGTCACAACACCAGCTATGCGGAAATATCTTGATCTTCAGATGAATGGTCATGATGCACGTCTGCAGTTAGATACCGCCTCTGATACTACTGTTATATCAGAGAAACTTTGGAATTATATTGGTAGACCACCTATCACCAATACTTCCCAGTCTCTTGTCAGCGCCTGTGGTGGGCGCCTCAAACTAATTGGTGAACTCAAATGTTTTGTTTCCTTCCGCAATACCAAATTCACAGGAATTTGTTACGTTACCAAGAATGATTTAAATCTTTTGGGACTTGATTGGTTCGATCGTTTGCATCTGGCTGATGTCCCACTAAATTCGCTATGCAATGCAGCCAAGAAGCATAAAATGTTAGACAATTCCGGACGGAGCCGAAGCCGCAAACCCAACAATCAGACGAAACGACAGGCGTCAACAACAAGCCCAAAGGTCCCAGATAAACCCCCAGGTAAACATCCTACTAATCATCCATTTTCTCAAAAGGGGAGGTGATATGTATCCACATATATATATTTATGTGTGTGTGTGCATGTTGGTCTCTCTTTCTGTTTGCTCGGTTAGTCTGTGACCACTTCACTTGTATGAACTTGTCTCCTTTAATAATGTGTATTCTCCTTATATTATATTATATATAATATGAGTGTTTGTTGACAGTCCGTTGCTTGGTGACATATATCCATATATGTTTGTTGGCATGTCTGCTATATTCGCTATGTATAATTGGATCGACACTCCATTATAATTAGCCATTCATGTTAAGACTGTCTAATGATTTTTCCCACGTTTGTCTGAATTATTTATATATATTCGCATTCACAATTTGTGTGAACTACTTTACTTTACAACTACTTTACTTACTTACCACTTTGGTGTGAGACCATTTATTTTCGTCTCCTTGTGTTTGGACAATAGAAGTATCATCGCAAACCTAGTGGTCTTCTGATTTCCGCCTTCTCGCGTCAGGACTATTAGTTTCTCGACCAGTCCATAACAATAATTTAGCGACGAGTACATAACAGTTTACATTGGACGAGATGAAAAGGAACGTTCAAATACACATATAGTATTCTGTTGCTAATGCAGTATTGTCCTGTGGGAATAGGTGAGAATAATATTCTGTTGGAACACATTGTCTGTATCCCACCACCACAGTATCATTATTTGGGACAGAGATATCTTCATATATGGATAAATCATGACTAACAAAGAAGCTGGTTTGTCCCAACATCTCTCTTCTTCAATGAGTTCTCGATTGGAGGACCACTGGATATTATACTGTGCAGGTATGTGTACTCTCCGTCTGTTACCTCCTCGATGAAATAGTATGGGATCATCGGTTTGTAACTGGAGGACAATGTAATCATCTCAATAATTGCTCGAACACATTTGTCCAGTAGGCTACATCATCAACTTCAATACTATCATCATTCAAGGCAGGAAGAGTAAACTTCTCTCATTCTTCGGGCTGTAACTGATGGAGAAAAACGACGTCGTGAAACTCTTCCTGTCAAATAGAATAGGAGCGCCTGTACGTATGTATGTAGAGAGAGAGGGAGAGAGGGGATTCTTTGCATTCCGTGAAGAGAGGAGAAATTAAAGTGGAATTGCCTACACTTTGACTGATCATATTTCCCGATTTTACACAAACTGTATCTCTTCACAGATAGAATTCGATGCATTATGAGAATCCAGATTCTCTATTCTCTTTGAAGAGAGAACATGTTCGTTCTTTCTCTCATCAAACTAATAAAGGGAAACGGTTGTATGAAATCTCTATTCTCTGTTTGAATTTAGCTTCAATTTGCATGGTTTTATTTGAAGGCGAACTGTTCAAATAATGCCTCAATTAGTAATAAATGGTTGTGTACTTCTGTGGCTGACTGACTGACTGACTCAAGGAGAGGATGAACAGTTTGAGTATGGAGATGGGATAGGATGGGATAGGATGACTAGATGATTGGAAAGATTATCCCTTAGTGAGGATTTGGATGAGAGTTTAGCCTGTTGCAGGGCTTCATAGTGTTTTCGGCACTGTTGTTGAAGTAACTGAATTTTGTGAAATTTGAGGTAGGTAGGTAGGTGATTGAACACTTGTAAAATTGACATGACTGGATATATTACTGAATTAATTGTACTAGAATTTGTGATCGTTTCCACTAAACTGAATAACGCCGTCGCGGAAGTTTTTTGTTGACAAAATATCCGTCTAAGTTGAGTAAAATGGGTCTTCAGACACAACAGTTTTCGTTTGTAAGTGTACTGCTAATATCAATATTATATTTGTAATTATTCCTATTATTGTTACTTTCAGTTACCGTCATCCGCGATTCAATGTGAAAATGAGGCAAATATTCGATTAGAAAACTCACTACCCAATTCGCTACTTAATTCGACTTCAAGAAAAGTGAGTGAATAAAATAATTGTGGGTGTTCCACTGTTTTTCCGTTGAAAAGAATTGACTAACCTGATGGTGGAACGTCCGTGATTAAATGTGTAGTCTTAGAAGATATACCAGCGAGGAGGATGTAGTTGACTAACCTAAGCAATTGACTTCCAACCAATTGGGTGCCAGGTTCGACTCCTGTTCCACGGTTATCAACAACCCTGTCACATACGATAAGTGTGTAACGGATTTCTAACAACAACAACAACAAGAATCGAGAAAGCATACCGTTCTCAAGCTAGAAATCTCTACTGTTCAGAAATGTGTAATATACCGTTAAATGCTAGTGATGCACAGTATTGTGACCAGCTTCCCAAACTAGTGTTGCGCCCCTAGTTTACAAAGTTTCGCGGAGTCCACGTGGTTTCTTTGGAGTTTAAATTTAGTATTCTTCACGTCCTGTATCACCTCATTACCCCAAATAGAAAAGGTGTCCTAGTTGTTAGTAGTCATATTGGTCCGGTAAGTTGAATGGAGTAGTGTTATTATTATTATTCTTATTTTAAGTATTAATCATATTAATGTTTTTCGATTTTCACAGGGTTTATATATTTGCCTGTGTTGCCGATCGACATTTACAAGTAGTGCTTTGTATGAAGACCATCTGGATCGTGCCGTTGCTCGAATATTGTATCGTTGTCATATCTGTCGTGGTTCTTGGACGACTTCACGTGAGGCGGTCAGTATCGCTGATAATCATGAGAGCGAAACATGCTCACGGTTTTATTCTGTTCTACCGGGTGGAATTATCAGCGCTAATAATAAATGCGCTATATTTACTCACTTGGTATCTGCACACCCGGATAAAAGAAGTGATTGGATTCTACGACCATCACTTCTTACAATTTGTCCGTTGTTTATGCCAACCACATTTTTAAATTTAGCAGCACAGACCGCCTCCACTACTACTGATATCCAATCTTTTGATGTATCGAGTGAGTTGACTACTCATTTGTTGTTTGTTTTTCTTTTATGTGCTGTAACTTTATGCTGTGTATGTTTCTGTACTTTTGTTGTCTCCTATCACAGTTATAATACGTATGCATATGCATGCGTGTGTGTGTGTGTCTGTTTGTCTAAAAAGGTGTTTACAATGTTTTGCATAGACTGATTTGTTATGTAACCGATATCTATATAGGCTGCAGGCGGTGGCATTGAGTCTGATTAATAAGTGCTTTTCGAGGGAGGGCTTCGTGTGGGTGTTTACAACTACACTTATTTGGGAAGTTGTAACAGACAATGTTGTCAGCGGGTCGATCGCTGACGAAATCACGACACGGATGCAGAAGGCTCGTTTCGCATATGCTGAGGTACGCTATCTCTGGCATAGACGTGATTTCCGGTTGGCTGTCGATCGAAGGACATGTGTACTGCTCAGCAGCCATTGAAATTGGAATACATGAAAAGCCTGGCTAGCTGTCTCTGATCATAGGTGCCTGCTTTCTGTCTCCCATGTTGGGTGGAATAATAGAGTGAGCAATATTGAGGTCAGGCATCGGTCGAGTGCTGTGTAAGAAGGAAGGGAAAATCAGTGAACGAGTTTGTGAAGTTACATCGATTGAGAGAGATGGTTAGGACATGTGTTACGCATGACTAACTTACCATTGCCTTCCTCGATAATAGGTAATGTTAACTGACATAGAATGGTGGATCAGGTTGGAGAAGAGCTAGGAGATGGTGGTCAAACCAAAACATGGCTGGCCTCATCAGTCAATGAAATCCACAACAGTTAGTTTAGGCCAGCCAGCCAGCGAGCCACGTAGGGAGGTGTAGAGTGCCTGTTTGTGGTCTTCGGGATGATGAGAATCAGCGATTGGAGACAATTAGTGATATGGCTCATAATCGTCTTCGGGTGATGGCTGGCGCAGATGCATTCACTCCTTGTGATTTATCATAAATATCATGACAAGATTCTATTGTTCTTCCGTATTACTAATCCTAATCCCCTCACTGACACTTCTGTTTATAATCTGTGTCTCTCTATTTTGAACCTCTCTGTGGTCTTTTGTCTTGGTTTGTGTGATACATGGAGTGTGATAACTCGATATTCTGCAGAGCTGTGCAAGGTTCTGTGTTGAAACGAGTGAGTCATTAATAAGTGATCGGTGAGATTGTGTATTTTGGTTAAAAATGACTCCCTTAGTTGTTTTCTTTAATGAACTTCAACAAGGCATGAATGACAAATGTACCATCAGGATACTATGAACTCATCTCTCATTATTTCCTTGGTGCTTCTCACACCGCTGGCTACAACCTGAACAATGCAGAAATATATAAATCGCAATAAAGATTTAAACATACTTTTTACACCAATGAGAAGAAGTAATTGGTGGGAACTTAATGTTAACTAGTAGTCTGAAATGATGTAAGTTGTTATGTAATTAGGAGCGAAAAGGAGTGACTATATATGGTAAAATTGGATGACTCTGGTGTGTCGGTGGCACAATGGTAGAATGTTTGCCAACTGCGTATGTGTTCCGGAGTTCTGTCTGTCTGTCTGTTTCGACATAGAGTTCAATCTTCGGCCACTGACTACGCACTCCTTTACTTCTCTAAACCGTTAATAAGACTGGTAAACGGGAAATGTGTAGGCGTGCATGGGGTTGGCTTGCAACCCTACCCGTAAAAATACATACCAACGAAATAGAATAAAATAAATACTACGGAAACTCCAGCCTCTGCCTTGAGGCCCTATGTTTCACTGGGGACTTAAAAAATGAAAAAAGTCTTGTAAAAAGTATTTAAAAAAAATCTTTATTGTAGCCAGTCGAAAAGGATTCGTGAAAAGATAAATAAATGTATTATTGTTCTATACCTACTGCTCACCGAATATGTAAAAGCGAATGGAGATGGATTGGGCACACGTTGAGGAGGCCATCGTCGAATGACGTCGCATGTCAGACCTTCGAGTGGAAGGTGAGCGTAAAATGTAGGAGACCAGAGTCCCAAATGGGACTAAATGGTGTGTGCGTATGTGTGGGAGGTGGGTGGGTTCCACTGCTAGTCACCATCATTCATCAAATTACTTCAAATTCTTAACCAAGTTTGAAAATACGAAATTTGTTAGTAATTATGACCATGTGAATGCCTGAAATCTACTATCCTATGCTTTCATGTCATTAATCCAAGGTTATGGTTAAATGCATAAGATGTTACATGACTGGAAATAATAATCAAGGGGAATCCCTAGGCCTAGGTGAAAGAAAACACACACATGGTTAACAACACCGGTACTTCTGATGAAAAGTAATAAGTGTATTCAGGACAATGAATACATCAGTACTAATATGAGTGATTTTGTATCATCCCACCGACCGTCTCCAACCACTGACCTTTATTAACGTCAAACGTTGACAGCGGAAACAGTAAAGACACGACTGGTTGTAGGTTAGATTACGGACTGACGTCAGTTGTAAGGCTATTGAAAACTAGTGTGTCAACTGTCCAAATCGGGCAAGATCCTGAACCTAGCACTGCTGGCAGAAAAACTAATCGCTGTCTCAGACTACTATGTACGGTAACCAACTCAATTATCAAAAAATATTGTGTATACCTACACCTGTCTGTAAGCAGCCTATATTTTGAAAGAAAACAACAATCCATGGTACTAAGGGAGTAATACTCTACCTTTATTTGTTGGTTGCAATTGTTGAGTAGTATTCATAATTGTTAATCCCTCTCTCTCTCTCTCTCTGTGTGTGTCTTTTGCATTTCTTGTCTTCATTCTCCAATGTCTTCCGCGATTGTTTGTGTTGTGTGTTGTCGTAGATGAGCAGCAAGCGCCTACACGTCTAACATCCAATCAACTTGTCAAAACTCATTTGATGAATGATTTATGTAAATCAAGAGTTTGGAGTGATCTTCAACATAGTCTTAGGTAAGTTTCATTCTGCACTTTCACTTTTCCTTCTGGTTTTATGAAACTTTTTGTGTTTTTAATTGTGCCAATACTGTGGTGGTGTGATACAGACAGTGTGTATTCCAACGGAATATTATTATTCTCACCTATTCCCACAGTACAATACTGCAGTAGCAAAAGAATACTATGTGTGTATTTGAACATTCTATTTCATGTTATTTAATGTAAACCAAAATCATAAGCTCAGTGATCGGTTAACCAATATAAACTGTAGATATATAAACAGCGGTTTGATCAATTGAAAATACAGCATTACTTCCGTGCCTTGCCTCCTACTGTTTTAGTACCAGTCAATGAATGAATACATCGATTATTAATCACATTGATAAATTTAGAAAATTGTCAACTGTCACTCCTGATTTCTCTAGGCTATTTAACAACAGCTCCACTAATAATCATGACCAGGACTGAAAGGTCTGTGATATTATTATTATTATTCCCTTGGGTTCCGAGTGGAACACACGGCTTGAACAAATACATCTCCACTTTGTCCTATCTTCTGCCGTCCTCTTCAGCTTGGACCATGATTTCCCACAATCTCTCGTCTTCTCCTCTTACTCACACGATCTCCTCCATGTCACCGTAGCAATGACAACCCACTCGTCGCCGCTTCCCATTCGGGTGTCACTTGAGGAATGGCCTGCATTGCGCGCGACGTTATTTGACTGTCTCCTCAACTTATTTATGCCCAATCCATATCCATTTTCCCCTACATATTTGTTGAGCGAGTGGCTCTTCGTTGGTTTGTTCCCAGCCATAATTTCTTGTTTCTAATTCTTCCTGGCCATTTGATCTTTAGTATGGAGTCAGTCAGCGAGGTGGTCAGTTGTTGATGAAAGTGTGAAACAGGCTGTTGGAAATCCTTTTCGTGACTACTCACGCGCAGTGCAAGTTTCTGATTCACATAGAAGAATTGACTGAGTGACTTCAGATTTGTGTTGGGTAGAATTCGAATCTTGTTGTTTATGCTTCTGATTGAGTGCAGAAGATCTTCGAATTGGTTTCAGATTGATGAGGGTGTATCTTGTTTTTCTTATCTTCTCTGGCTGGCTTTGACATCTTCACCCGTTCCGATTGGTTGTAGTGGAAACGATGCTGGCTGGTTAGATAAGTGGAGGAGGCCACCTCAGTTAAGTCTCTCTGGTTGATGGTGATTGGTGCTGGTTGTTGTTGCCAGTGTCAGAGTGTCAATTCACACTTGAAACGCGCCACTGTAAGTCAGTTACTGCAAAGCTCTGTTTATTTGGTTTATAAATACGTTTGTTGTTTGCGACAGTAACTGTTCAATCGCCTGCTTTCAATAAGAAATGAATTGGAGGTGTGTGTGTGTATGTGTGTGGCTTGTCATTACTTCCCGGCTGCTCACATCATGGAAATTGATTTCTTCTTGAGATAATTGAAGCAGAACGAGCACTAGTGTTGTGCTACCGCAGAGCTCAGAAGATAACTACTTGAGACTGATCATACACGGCCCGTGTGAAGTGGTTTTTGGCGTTACATCCGCAAGATAGATAAATCGGGATGTACAATTTTCAGGATCGAATTTTTCTAACTCCCGTTCTCCATAGCAGGGAGGCAGTATAGCTAGGTAGCTTGCTGGTCATCTGAGGGAAACACGCTACTCTTGTTACATGTCCATTCGACGGCAGTATAACTTCGAACATAATGTAGACAACTTACACTACAACGTCACTGCTTTTAGTCTAATTGCTAACCAAACTACCTTTCTGGCATAGTAGAATATTGCAGGAACATTAGTTCCAGCCAGTAGTAGTGGGTCATTGGGATCTGCAACCGGAAACCACCATATTACGATGTGGGAGCTGTCGGTCGATATTCTTGAATACCTCAACACTGTTATTTGCCTTTGTATGTTATTCTTGATACTATTGGTAATTACTGTACATAGAAATAGTCTACTTCATTTTGATTGTCTTGACGATCATTTTTTCTATTGTCCTATTTTAGCTTTAGCAATATATCTGCCCTCGGAAGTCTCGACTTTCTCCAGCCACCATCTTCCTCGAAACAAGTTTCCTCCAACCCCGTTGGCAGATTAACTCGAACATGTAACGACATAATTGTCGAAAAGTTCTCCTCTTTAAAGCGTATTTTCAATCCTAATAACAACAGTGGTGAAAGCAATTTACCTAGCCTGCCTTGTTCAGATAGTGTCTTGTATCATTTAATTCTCAATTCTGCCACTAGCGAAATTTGGCATTCACACCTTTTTCTACCAGAATGGTGTAGTGATGAAACCAGAACAATTGGTACTCGTGCTAGAACAACAGCAACAGCAACAACGAAAACAGTAAATCATCAAGATGAAAATAATCCGGTTACTATTCAAACTAATAATAATGATGATGATGATGATGACGGTGACGCTGTTGAAAATGGTCAAACCAATAACTGTGATAACAGTGTGAATGTTGGCGACAGTTACAGTGCAATGAGTAGAAGTAAGCATACTGATGAAGTTATTTTTTTCCAAAGTATTTTATCCTTGTGCATTCCGAGTGGAACGAATATAGGGGATCAAGCTTCATGTTTGAAGTTTCAGTAGCATTATTTATTGGTGTTGGGTGGGGTGGGGTGGGGGTTGGGGTTAATCAGCCTTACCTCCAACTCTTCCTCTTTGTCCGGCTTACAAACCGGCTAGGGGTGGGGCGAAGTGAAGGTGTGCGGAGGTTGGGGATCGAACCTCGGATCACGTGGATGGTTGGTGGTTAATGAGCATTTTATCGTCGAACCTCCAAGGCAGTTTGTCCGGAGAGAAAACGTTTATCTAGAGAAAAAACACGTATTTCCTGTAAATTCTCATCAGGGTTTATACCTACATAATGATGAAATATTAGTCATAGGCATTTGAATGATGAATGTGGTTAACAAAATACAAGATCAGAGTTCAGGAATGTGAGTAAATTAATGGATAACAAACGAGGTGATCACAATAGGAATAATGATAATAACAAGGATAAATTCATTCAAGTGTCCATATAATCTAGATAATTGTGAGTGTACAGGTAGAATGTGCATCTTAGTAGGTGTAGATCGGAGGATAACTTTTGTCACTTGGCGATTAGATAATGTAGTAATAATAATAACGATAAATTGTGATACCAAGAGTGAAATGCACAACTACCGCACACCATGATATTGATAATACAATTAACAGTACAAATAAATATAAGACAATATTTACAGTTATCCGGTGTCACTATGAGAGATAACTATTTCAAGTTGGCGGTGAACGCCGAGGGAAGCACAGAGATTAAACAAACTTTCTCTGAACACAGAGATTGGGTTGAAAAATCCTTATGGCAGCTGCCACAACTAGGCTTAGCAACCGAAGAGTACAAGACTAAGGAGTTGAAGTGGCACCTTATATAGAATTGTGAAAGCTGAATTTCTGTCGGTCTTGTGCTCCATATGCACTAAGTGTGTCAGTGCGGAAATTCCGATTGACTTTACGACTCCTTTGCTTGTTGGTCAATGCTCTGAAAGGCCAACGGTGCGCTTTCCTAGTCGTTCAACCTATGTAACTGTCTCCAGGAGAGTAGTTAAATTTATAAATGCACTTTGAAGTGTCCGGGCTTGGTATTTGATGCTTCACCTGCATTGGAATTATACACCCAGTGGCGAATTTTGAATACAGTGTTGAGGCAAGCAGTGTTTTAGCTATTCGTTTAAGTTATCTAAAAAGGTGTAGCTTTACTTTCTCAAATGAGTTCCTTCGTTATTATTATCAGTGATTTCAGTGTGTGTGTGTGTTGAGCAGTTTGACAGTGCTCTTTCACATCCTGTGAGACTTGTTCGTTGAAGATTGACGGATATTAAAGAGAAAAAGAGATTAGCAGCCTTTTGACCCCATTGGTGTTAAGTGTATGCTGTTGTCAATAATAATAAGGCCAGGCATGTAGAATATTATTAGAGAAAAAAGGGAAAGTCACTGGATGGATGGGCTTGTGATGCTGGGGATCGTCGATTGAGATGGCTAAGACACATACGTCACAGCTGTCTTTCCTTCCTCGTTAAACAATGTTATAACTGATATAGAATTGATTGAATTAGACAAGAAAAAGAGTTAGCTAAGATTGTGAGTGAATTGTACAACACTGCTACTCTGTATGGGAGTGGTTGACGTAAAAGTTGATTCAATAGTGACTGAGCATAGTAACCATTGTGTGTGTGTATCACAATTCATAGGTGGTATGCTGTGTTGTGCCGCTTATTTTTTGTGGGCATGAATTTAAAACCTTTTTTCGCAACATGGAAGTAGTGATTGATTGTGTGATATCGTTTGAGAACTATGTTGGTTTTCGTGTTGTGCCAGAATTAATGAATGTCATTCGAATAACTTCCTTCTAAATTGTGTTGAGTGGTAGGAATTCAGGCCACACCAAACTAAGGACTAGATGCATAACAGTAATTACTACCCAGTGTCCAATCAAAATATCCACTGAAGTTCTACAGTAGTAGTAGTAGTAGTAGGTCAATTAACGAGCCTGATTAGCTTAGTTTTAATGTCTCTCACTGCTTCACCACTGAATTGATCTTGGTGACCCTGATTCGAATCACAGAAGGAGGGGGGATGTGAACTCCTGCAAGATTGCAGATACACATACACCTTGCTCTGACGAGTGACGATAAACACGAAATCTAGGTCCAGAGTATCTCACCGATTGCATTCACAACCATCTAATAAGAATTCAGAGTTACACATCTAGCCATGATGATGGCCACATTGCACACTTGACTGATAGAATTCAATCTACACCCTGAAAAAGAATGGAATAAACGTATAACAAAAAAAAAATGCCTGGTAGTGTCCAATGGAAATATAACTCCAATAAGCTTGTCTCTTGTTTTTTGCTTTTCTCCCTTGTCTAATTTTTCTCTGTCATAGAAGTTAGCGACACCTGTCTACCTCCATCCGCTCCATCCAATGCTCATCTGAATTTGGCTTTAAACGCGATACTGTCTTCGTATCGTTCACCACAGTCTTCAACTCCATCATCATCATTATCGCAACAACAACAACAACCATTCGGTGTGTTACGTTGTCTCTTATGCAAATTTAAAACAAATGATAAACAAAGGCTTAAAATGCATCTTATGGGTAGTGGTCGAACTGTAGTCAATACAAAATGTGGCCTATGTGGTCAGCTATTAAGTATAGAACAACCAAATTTATGTTTGATTAAGGCTCATATACTGTTACACTTGGGATGTCATATAATGTGTCCTCAGTGTGGATTTACGGTGAGTTATAGTTTATTGTTGTTGCTTTTTGTGTGTGTTCCACCCTCGTAGAAATCGAAGGTATGTGTGTAAGTGCTGGAATCAATCATGACTAATTAAGAAATTGTTTTCCACTCCTTTACGTTCCTAGTGGAAAATAGGGCTAGGAGCTTGAAGTTTATGTAGCAATGGTGTTTATTTTTACGAGGCAGGGTTGCTAGCCAGCCTCATGCCCCTCCCCGCCTACCTTTTCTCTTTACCAGTGTTATTACTGGCTTAGAGAGGTAAAGGAGTGCGTCTTCGGCGGCCGCGGATTGAACCCCAAGCCACATTCGTGGATGACGAGCATTCTACTGGTGTTCCACCGACGCTCAGAATTAAGAAATGGCGAAACTATGAAAATCGAGTGATCCAAGTGAATGGTTGCAGTGGTCTAATCACATTTTGCGTAGGTTACTATGGCAGTTAGTTATACAGAAGAAATCGAATTCAGGATTTAGGAAGAAAGTTTTCATATGAACAAATACACTAAGTGATAATCCGCAACTCGAGCTGCTGCACATCTGTGCAGAGTTCCACGTGGAAACCAGTTGTCAGTTTGGGAATTGGCAGCACGCACCCACAGGGTTTCGAACCCCCTCCCCCCACCTTCCGGTTACAAGGAATCTTGTATACCATTCAATCACAGGGACCCGATTCAATGGCCCATGACTTCTTACCTTTTATATATTAAGAAACGTTGGTTCGGATAGGGACGCCGAGCTATTGGTAAACACGTTGACCACGAATATCGCTTGTCCGCGCCAACGGCGTACACCACAGCTACCAGATTTCCAAGCCGCTACTTACACGAGAACACACAAGAGGTGAGACGCAGAAGTGTGTTTACAAAAGGAATTAATGACATATGCAGGGTAATGAAGAAACACAAAATGTACACATGAGCCAGTAACGTAGGCATGAGAAAAGGATAATCCGTTGACTATCTGCCTATCCAGCCACCTGCCTGTACGACAACTGATAGGTTTATTTCCAGACTGGACATTGATCACCATATCACTTATTCACTATGTGTTTGAATGTGAGACTGGCTACGAAACATTTTCAATAGGGCCAGAAATCGGCAAAGTGACATATTTCTGTGGAACCATTTCATGTACAGTGTTGAATTTTGTCATATAGACGCGTAAATAGGAGGATACATCAGTCACTCGATAATGATGTTTTAGAAATGCATTCATGGACTGATTTAGCTGGGTCTTGTGTTTTATCGCGCCGCCAAATATGAATACGATTGTCAACTGACGATAATGAATGAATGGTCCTAGTCGATTATTCCCTGACCCGAATCACGTAAATTCCAGAAGACTCACACAGTAGGGGTGTGGGGTGTGGAAACGTGTATTTCCAAAACAAACGAGTGTGTGATATATATATATATACATATATATATATATATAGAGAGAGAGAGCGAGAGTGATCAAGTGGACAAAAATCTATACGGCATATATTGATCGAGTCACAAGGCTCAAATGGTGGGCGTCGACTGACGACTGTGATCCGGATTCTGACTGGCTGGTTGACTGACTGACGTCCATCATGTGACAGTAGGTGATTTGTTGTTATCTGACCGGTAGACGAATGAGATAAATTGTATAGGTAGATGTTGCAATGTGTGTGCACAAATTCCATAGACTTTTCCGATGACATTGCTCTGTTCTTATATGAACACGTGTTGTGCTCCATATAGACACTGAGCTAAGGATTTTCAAAATGAACTTAGTAACTGTGTTGTATGCATAGCTGTCCTGAAAGTGTGAATGAGTTTTGTTGTTGTTGTTGTTGTTTTGAGATATGAATATTACTCTTCAGGTGTGTGAATACATTCCATGCATGGTGTTGTAATGTGTGTGTATAACTTTTCATTGGTGCGTGGAAATATGTATATATATTACGGATTGACTATTAATTTTTGGATTGCTAATGAACGAAACTTCAGCAAAAATAGAATATTTGTGTGTGAAGGGAAATTAATTGATCGATCGATCTAGTGCTACTGTGGTGTGTACTACTGACAAGATTTATCAGTGGTGTGTATACAGAGACGTTGACTGGCAGAGAAATATCAAACAGTGGAGGGATGGATTTGACATCAAAGCGAGCAAATGAATCAGTATATAGTTGGAAAACATTGGAGATACAAAAGGAAGGCAAAGAGACACATTACCGAGGGGTGGAGGGAGACAGAACTAGCACAACACGGAAGACTTGTGGAAATGACGATGTACAGATAAAGTGTACATCATTTCCCTATATATATCCATTAAAATGTACTTGTTATGATGTGGTGACTTTATTAAGCAATACCACCGAGGTCGAAGTAGGATATATAGACACCAATGCGCTTGACTTAGACGCACACGCTGACCACGAATACAGCTTGATTACGCTGACAACACTCTGTACGACAGTTATCTGTTTCCCTCCAGCCTGTTTTACTTAAGCCTGAACACACCACGATATGAGATGTGGAGAGTATATCTTTTACAGTAGTGGTTGTAGTAGTTAAATCTCAACTACCCAGTAGTACTAGGTTACAAGCCATTCTTATTGTGTAGGGGCTTGTGGTATTACCCAGTTAGTTGGCCAGGCTGAAGTAGGTGGGGCGCAGGACTCGACCCCGGGGGCTGATTAGCTGTAAGTTGAGTACTTAAGTCAATGTGCCACATCTGCAAATATGTATTGAACGGTATCGGTATCTGTATAAGTTTAAGCGCAAGCGCGTGCCAAGGAAAACAATGATATATGCACGCATGTGTGTGGCCAATGGCGTTGCATGAATGAAGATAGATAGTCGTAAAAGGATAAAAAAAAAAAAAAAAAAAAAAAAAAAAAAATTACCTGACGAAGTCCATATCTTCTGTGAGTGAGATTATCCCTGCTGTTGACTTCAACCCAATCTAACCAAAAACATGTGTCATGTCTGAGTACAAACCACTTCTCTCTGTTACACATTGCCTTGTTTTGATCAAAGCTCAATGAGAATTGAACTAAAATTTATAATTTGTATACAATGGGATATATTAATGTTTTTTGCAAGAGTTGGTTTGTATGGATTTCGCTTGTTTTCAAAGTTCGCCCATGGATTGATTTCAGTCAGAGACAAAGAGAGAGAGAGAACCTTTGGAAACCATCAAGGAGTACTTGTACTGGACAGTCAGTTGTTTCGTCAGCCTAGTTAGTTTGTGTCTCAATAATGGCCAACCCAACGAATTCTTGATTTTGGCGCGACAGTCAGGCACCAGCTAATGTCATCGTTATGCAATAATACTCTGTGAGAGATAGGTGGAGAAACAGACGATATATCTGTATGTATATATTAACATAAATTGATTTAACTTTGTGTACTTAAAAGAAAGAAAAAAATTTCCGCATATTACTTTCTCCTCTAAAAAAAAATCTTTCGTTTTTCCTCAAGCCTCCAGCATATTTATCGCCTGATTGTGCTGAGTTGTGCTTACGTGCACATCTTCGCTTTGTATGTTATCACTTTAATTTGAGGGAAATCTTTCAATGTTGTTATTGTCATGAAATGGGTAACAAAAAAGGCTATAAGGCGTTTGAAAATCTATGCCAACATTATTTTGAATGTCATACAAGGCGGATTTATTCATGTTTACTTTGTGTACAACACCAGAAACAATTACAATCTATTGTTGGTATAAGTATCGATAATAGTCAGCAGCAGCAGAGTACAAGTTTCACCATTGAAACATCTTCATTTGAAGAATTAACAAATCATATGAGAGTTATTCATGGTGCTAATACGCCGCCTGGTGCTATGAATTCTTCGACTTCTACTGTTCATCCTATATCTGGATTTTAAGTGAATCTCAGACGGTGTTATTGCCACCCTCATTAGTAAACATGAATGGGCCACCGGTGGTCCATGGAAATGGTAATTATAATGCCAGTGTGATGAGTGAGAATGCAGATTACTCCACAAGATATCAGTGCATAGAGTGTTTGAGAGTTCTTGATACAAGAGAGGAGTATTTCCGACACTTCAGTGTAAGTGGTGAATACTTTTATATTGTAATGTGTCTCTGTGTACGTGTATGTGTGTGTGTGTGTGTTGGTTATCGTTTCATTTCATTATATGCAGTATATATAAATATGTATATGTGTTTATGCATATTTGTTACGTAATAAATGCTTGACTGGTCTTGTGCATGACAGAGTTCCTCGTTGTTTATTCCTTCTGGCCAGTAGTTATCCAGTTTGTCTGTCTATCTAACCCAGCGGAGAAGACATGTGTTGACGAAAGTGTCTGTGGCCTATTTGATGGGATTGGTTTTGATAACGTGCGCGTGCCAATTCCCTGAAGTACGTGGAGGCGCATGGACCTGACACACTAGTGTTATAAAAGTGTGAGGTTTTTCCTGATTACTTTCATATGCACAGTGATTTCAGAGTAGTGATCGACTGTCTTGCTCTCCCCAATGTATAACCGTGGCTTTGTTTGTTATCACCATTTATAGTACCACTGGGTTGAAACAATGACGCCCACCCAGGTGAGGTGATGACGCTAAAATTATAGAGGGGATACGCGATAAAGCGATTTCGGATATTGAGCAGCAGCACAGTTAGCTACAGCGTACATGAATGTAGTCTTTCAGTTATTAGGCGAAAATCAATGATTGTGGGACAGTTGATCATTGAAATATATAACAGAACAATTTTCAAGTATTGGTTTGTGGGTTTTTTTGTTTAATTGGTTGGAGGACTTCATCATAAGCCTGCATCGGTTAGGGAACCATTGGAAAACCAGCTGGGAGTACTGGACAGTTGTTTAGTCAGCCTAGTTTGGGACTCGTCGGTAGTAAACACCCACTGCCAGGGGTCGAACCCAGGACCTTCTGGTCACAGTATAGACTTATAAATGAATTGTTGTTTTGTACATTTCATTCAAAATTCTCTAGTGAGACTAGTGACCACACACACACACACACACACTGACTCTATGGGAAGGATTCTTGAGCGGTTGCCATCCACATACACATGGATATAAACGTGAATTCGTTTCTTGAGAAAATCCGTGGATGACAGTTACCATAATGACATGACCCTGATACCAGTGTGGAGGAAAGGCAGTGAACGGGTGGATTGAGGGGGGGGCTACGCGAAACTTTGAAGGGAAGCTAATAAAGAAATTGATAGAAATCGGCTTAAAGTTGTGATCAACCTTATGATTATTCATCGTGTGAGATCGGATAACTGTAAAATGTTATCATCTTTTTTACCTTGACACTGTAGTTCAATAGTCGACCAATCAGAATGTTCATATTTTACGGCCCTAGCCAAATCGTCTACCAATTAGAAGAGTCTATTTCCAGTGGGCTAGGCAGATTTCAATATGGTTAAATATATACATAAATATAACGTGCCTTTTTCCCTAATAGAAAATTGTATCCTCTACCATTCACAGACCAGTCTTTATCTTTCGATATTTACCTGGCTCAGTGAAGCGAAGGTAGTAGCACAAACGGGAATAGGCGTATTTAGTAGTATATGTATCGTTTGAGTTGTCCATTCCGTCAGGACTATTATAGCCATGCATAAGTCTTACTCACTCTTATCGATTGGCGACAGGTGTATGTATGTATGTAGAGGAGAATCCCGACGAGCTGATTTCAACTGGTGGTGGTGATATAGAGATCATAACAGAAATCAGTATGTGTAATAAATCCAAACTATAAAAGGTTTGTATGCCATATTTTGTTTTTGGGGGAGGGGGAATAATCTACAAAAAGTGTGTAAATTATTCATTCATTGAGTTCACACGCGAATCGACTTTCTGCCTCTTGAAGCTGATTATTGTATTAGTAATGTGTGAGTGAACAGTATTCATAACTTCTTCTTTCTCTCCTCCATTCCGTCTTTTTGTTTTCTTTTCTTCTTCCTTCTCAACAATCTAGGCTGAACATCGATCAGCTTGTATTCAGGAAAACTATTATCGATGTTTTGGTTCGTGTAAACGTCTTTTTCCCAATATTGATATTTTTCGAGAACATTTATCAGTTTGTCAGCATGCACAAACAATTTTTCGGTCAACATTTGGATATTCCTATACTTATAGTAATGATAATATTGACAATAATAATAATCATGGTAATAAGGATATACTTAATTTATTGGACCCAGAGCATACAGATGACAACCAACAAGCACAAGCACAACAGCAACAGTCTGCCAGAACCTACTCATCATGTGAGAATAATGCATCTTCTTCGTCTGCTTCGTGTGCTTCCAGTTATGGGATGAATAATAATGCATCAGTAATATTTGATCGAAAATTATGCTTCTGTGCATACTGTGGTATTGGACCAAGGAGAAATACAGCGGTGACTGGTGGTGGTATTCATCCTTCGTCTACAGGGATAATAACAACCACACCAACAGCAACAACAACAACTACTACTACTATGACTTCAACTTCTTATTCCTTGTGTATGGATCATCCACATGCACAGATGACATCTGATTCATTATTGCTGCCTGAAGAATCAAATGTATCAGACGAAGGTATATATATGTGTGTGTATTAGGGAGTATTTTCTGCCGTCCTCCCTCCTCTCATGTCTGGTTTTTATTCCTTTGCCTTATTCCGACTGGTGGAACATGTGAGAGCTTTAAGCTTTCCGAAGTTTAAGCAGCAACTTGGAAATCCGCCTCATTGAGTCATAGAAAAGAGGAGGGTGGGGAAACATTCAACAAAGAGTTACTTTTTTCACCGATATCATTCTCAAGTTGTGTACAGTCGCATGTATAGATATATATATATATATATATGATTGTAGTGTGCGTTGGTGGCACAGTGGTAGAATGCTCGCCAACCACGCAGGTGTTTCAGGATTCGATCCCCGGCCACCGACGAACTCGTTTACCTCGCTCGCTAAGCTAATATTAAGACTGGCTGGTAAGGGAGAAGATTGGGCATGAGGCAAGATTACCGTATGTATCCTCTTAGATCACTGTGAAGTTCCTTGTTCCGGCGGGTTAGCTTGCTGTTCAGATTTGTTTGATCAGGTGTTCGAGGATAGAGCTGCGGGGCGATCATGAGGGTAAGTGTTTGATTATACGTTTGGATTGGAAACACTTAATACGACCGACGTGCCTATTTCGAAATAAGTGGGTGAATTGATAGATACATATTGATGGAGCCAGTCAGCGGTGGTAGGTTATCCTTCATGTTCATGAGGATTATTGGTTTTTGGAGGAAAGTTAGACGAAGTTTAGCCTCGAAGGTTTCCTTCAGTGGGTGGGACAGGTGATTTCTCAGTGTTTCTGTCGATGATACTCTATTCAGTTGTATGAATTCAGGTAGCGAGGTATTTTAGTAGCCGAAAGTGTAGGCGGTTTTAGAGGTTTAGGCTTCATGGATTTTGTGAGAAGGCATCTTCAAGATACCGAGATGACTTCGACATACGTTACCCCATGGCTAGTTACATTTTTATTTGACTGTCAGTGCCAGGAGATAGTCAGAAACAAACGCAATACTAACCAATAAAATCTTTTATTGTTAGTGTGTTGAGACACGTAAGGAGATGTAGACTGCTTGGTTGTGGTCCTCGGAATGCCAACAGCTATCTAATTATCGGTTAGAGAACCATTGGGAAACCTGGGAGTACTGTACAGACAACCGTTTCGACCTAGTTTGGGACTCTTCAGATATACCCCCTCGCCGGAGTTCGACCACTAACGAATGTCATTTACGAGTATTTGTTCTCATACATTCTGTCATTCTGTGCACTCCGCTGATGATGACTTTCCATTAGAATTCAGATAACTACCTACCTGAATCGAGTCAGTCGCCAGTGAGCATGAGACAAATACTTGCGAGCGATGACATTGACTAGTGGTTGCACTATATCGTGAAGCTGGTATTCATTGACTAGCCATTGGGTCGGGTTGGGTCTCAGTGGCTAAATGGTTTGCGAGCTCGCCTTGTACTCACCGAAAGGTCCTGTGTTTGAACCTTGGCCTGGTGGTGTGTATTTACTACCGACGAGTCTCTAACTAGGCTGACGAAACAGCTGTCTGGCAGTACTTCCAGTTGATTTTCTAATGGTTGTCTAATCGGTATCAGTTGATGGCCAATGAAATCGCTGCAAACCAACGATTGAAAAGCCAACTAGTAGCTGTCTATCGGTCATTGTGTCAGTTGAAAATGTTGTCAACGGTACAGGTGCATTGTCATCTCCCCGACTAATCAAATCCTCATAAATGCTTCGTAGAATCATAGATGCCAAAAACAGTTTCCAAGTGATGAAAGGCAACACACTTGTCTAGTCTGTCTTCTGCGTACTCAGGAATTCTCTGATTAATTGGTTTATATACGTACATGAGCGTGGAAAGCTTTTATTTGAAATGGAATGCATGCACAGTTGTTTTATCTTATTTTATCATTGTTAAGGTTAATTTAATAAAAAGCTAAATCTCCATAACTGTTAGTGGTGTGTGTATCACTACTGTACTGTTGTACTACTTTGTTTGTTTGTTCTTTTTGCTCAGTGACACAAGGTAGAAAGAACGAAATCAATCTAGTACTTCAAAATCAAGAATCAGTAGCAGACAATGGTTCTAGTTCCGACTGTTCTCAACAGCTACTGCAACAACAACAACATCAACTACAAGAATCTCCTAGTAACTGTGAAACAACTCCATTCACTGCTCGATACTTTACAGATCTGATAGATTTACACAATCATGAAAGAGATTCTCACTTTTTCGACAGTCGTAAACTGATTGCTTGTCCTTGGTGTCACAAGCAATTGACATTTTCTAAAAAAGATAATGCTAATGTGACTTATGAACACTTATTATCACATGTTCATGAACACTAGTAAGTTATTTTTATTTGCTTATTTTTTAATTTAACAAAACAGAATCCATGATGAAGAGTTGGTTTGTAAAGGGGGGAAGCATTTGATTGGATGGATGGATGGATTGATTGATATCAGTTAGAGAAGCATTGGGTAAATGTAAACCAGCTGGGAGTTCTGGTATTGGACAGCTGTTTCGATAGCCCAGTTTGTGACTCATCGACAGTTCGCGACCAGAGTCAGAGCTGGAACGCATGACCTTCCAGTAGTTACAAGTCAAACTCGGAGATCAGTCAGCCACTCGGACCCGATTTAAACGCCATCCTATGAATTCTAGTACGACTGACTGCTAGCCAATGTCATGGCCCATTGAGTGGAGTCTCAGTGGTTGGCTAGTTACTGTAAGGTGCTGGATTGGAAACCCGGTGGGTGTGTGCTGTCGATGACTCCCGATGTAGGAGGAAACGGCTGGTTCAGTGCTCTCTGGTTTTCACCGGTTCTCCAAATGATTTCAATCCGTGGTTAAACTTGAAAAGATCCATTATGTTTTCACGGTGTGTAATTTGATTACAGCTCACTGAGTGGAGGTAATTGAGTAAATTGACTGTCAGTCGGTAGGTCCTGGCTTCGACTCGTGTTCCATCTACTTTAACCTAAGCAACTAGACAATCCATAGGTAATCTGTCCCCAAAAGTTGAATGGTAATCTAACTGGGTAGAAGACTGAGATGTATTATTGAATGATTCATGCTACCCCTTCACTTCGGCGTATAATAACCAACCACTGATCGTTTTAAATATGATGAAGGCGTTATCTGCCTATTCATTGGGCTATTTTATTGTGTGTTTAGGTAATCATATAGAGTTGTATAGTTTAGTGGTCTGCACTAAATTTCAGGAAGCTGTATGAAATCTAGGTTTCGTGCTTATTGACAGTTGTCCTGGAGGAAACAATGTTCGCATTGATGTTCAAGAGACGGTATCGTGGAATGTAAAGAATAGCGACCGTGGAGTGTGAACGCATCAGTGACTTTGAAGGCATACGATCCGTTGTATTGCATAACCTGTGGTTATTAACAGCACCAGTATGAACGCGTTGCGACACATTGAGGTGCGAATTTCATCGCGATCTGATTTTTAAGCATCGTTTGGATAATGGGTGGATAGCCTGTTGCAGTTAGAATTATTCTGTGTTATACCTTTTCATATTAATTTTCGACGGGTAGTTTAATGATATCCTTCAGTTCTGAGCAAGTCTGATTACTATTGCAACATCACCAGAAGCACTCTCATCGAGATGCTCACTAATAAGTTATCTTTTCAATCATCTTGCCATCCCATCCCTTCCTATGCCATCTGCATACTCAGATTATTCATTGTTCTGTGGAGTCAGTCAGTCAGTCAGCCAGAGAAGTACACAACCATTTATCACTCATTGAGGCATTATTTGAACAGTTCGCCTTCAAATAAAACCATGCAAATTGAAGTTAAAAATCGAACAGAGAATAGAGAATCTGGATTCCCATGATGCATCGAGAGTTCTATCTGTGAAGAGATACAATTTGTGCAAAATCGGTAAATATGATCAGTCAAAGTGTAAGGAATTCCACTCCAGTTTCTTTTATCTCAGAGGAATGGAAAGAATCCTCTCTCTCTCTGTATAAGTACAGGCACTCTTATTTTATTTGATGAGAAAAGTTCCATGAAGTCATTTTGCTCCATGAATTACAGCCCGAAGAATGAGTGAAATCTACTCTTTGTGTAGGTAGGAGAACCTGCCAAATGAAAGCTTGTTCTAAAGAAGATGAAGCGTTGAATGCAGATAGTGTTAAAGTTGCAGCTGTAGTCGAATTTCTACTCGACAAATGAGTTGGAAGAATGATTGAGATGGTTGTATTGTTCTCCAATTACCAAGTGATGATCCTGTGGTGAGAGTTGGTTGGAAGCCAAAAGTGTAGTAAAAAAATTTGCGTCATTGTTCACGTTCCGAATCGGTGTCATGAAGAAAGCAATAAGTAAGCTTAGCCTTGATAAAATCACCAGTCAATCACAAGCTTTTCAAGCTTGATCTTAGGAGTTTCAGTAGCAGTGCTGCTTGTTTTTCACGATGTGGGATTGCTAGCCTCACACCCAACCTTCCCGCTTTTTCACCGGGCTTACTGCCGGTTGGGCCAGTCCTAGGAGTACGTCGGCTAGGGATCATCGAATCCCGGATCGTATAGGTGGTCGACGAGTATTCTAGCACTGAACCACTGACACACACGACAAGGTTTTCGGTGGAATACCTGGGAATTTATTCAAGTACCTCTGGCATGCTAAGCGAGCTTTCTGCCATTTGACCTTCACTACTCTAATTGTGCTTAACGTGTTGTTAACCAACCTTACCGTGTGTTGTTTTTCCTGTTTCTTAATTTCTTCTAGTATGGTTTCTTGGTGTCTTGCACGAACACGTCAGTGGAATGAAAATGCTAAAGGTAAGTTATACAAAAACACACTATTTATTGATAATTCATTTTGGAATGAAGAATGGCACAATCGAATTCTTGACAGTTTGCTTTAGAAATAATCGTGGAATTAGAATTGGTTTCTTTGATACTCCCTTCAGACATCTTAGTAATCAAGGAAATGTGATTCTTTTGATATTCCAAAGGAAAGTCATGGTCACTACTTCTACTATGTGTCTATTTAATGAATTGGTCAACTGCGAATTCGATTCTATGTAGCATCAGCGTCGTCTTAAGTAGCTAGCCAGAATTTGTTTGGTTTTTGAGGTGATTCGGCTTTGTTAACTGAATCTAACCGCTTACAGTGGTCAATGAAGAACTCGAACCCTAGACTGGCGAAACGGACGTCCAATGTGTGTGTGTGGATCACTTTGATCACCGGGAAGCTGTTTCGTCCTACTTCCAAAGTGATTGACCAGACTACACCCGGGAAATACAAATTGACGTAAATAAACAGTTATGACAAGATTTCAATCTTGTTTAAATTTCCTTACAGGAGATTGAGTTTCGTAGGATGCTGTGGGTGTATACGAACTGTTCACTTTCATAATAACTTTTGTCTGGCAGTATGTGTTATTCCATATGTCAACCCTATGACTGGTAATCAGGCGAACGTTGTGTGCTTTACGAGGAAGTGTGTGGGTGGTTGTCACTTCCCGACTACCCACACCTTGAAAGTTGATTTTTGCTTGGAATACCTGAAAAAGTAGAGCATTAATGTTGTGTAACCTCAGAGCCATGGGCCAGCAGTTTTAGACTGGTGGTCATATATGACCTGTTTGAATTTGTGTTTTTAAGATTGTGTTCGTGTTAAAAACGTACCGCTGTGTATGGACCGCCGTAAGGTAAGTCGGGATTTCCAGTTTTCTGGGACGATCTTTTCTAGCCTCCTGCTTACCCAGAGTGGAAAGGTAAGGTAACATTGGTGACTTGCTGGTCATCTGAGATAAACTCCTTTCTCGTGTTACATCTCTACTCGATAGCAGCACGACTTCGCCAAACCAGCGTGATCCGTCGGGTGGGTCATTGGAATATATGCGCAAGCCTGACCACCACTTCAAGGCTGTAGCTATCGGTCAGGATACTCTGATATACTTGTTAAGGAATAGGACATATTTGTCTCTTTTGGTAGTAGTGTCAATGTCATTCACACTTGCATTAGTTCTGTATGCGAATATACTGCCTTATTTAATCGGTTTTTCAATGGTCAGATCATCTGAGTCTCTTATTGGTAAGAGATAGAGTATATGTTAGGGATGATGATGATGATGACGGTGACGATTGTGAAGGTTGTAAATCCCCATTCAGTCGTATAGAAAAAAAGGCGTTCAGAGAAGAGTTAGTCTTTTTGGCGAAGTGAAATAAAAGTCGAGGTGTCCCACCACAACAATATCTTCATAGCCTTAGTCCCCAGGTTAGAGTAATGTGTTTGTCAATGCTGCAGTGTGCTTCAATTGATTATTTCTTGTTTTAAATTGCTTCTCTTGTCATTTTCGTCTTCACCTTCGTGTGTAGCTCTACCACATTGTGTATGTGGATTAGCCTTACTTGATTCTCCACTGGCTATTTTATCGCATTCTGGAACACATTTGATACATGCAGACAAGTACAAGTCATCGTGTATTGTTCTGCCAGATCCTATACAACTACGTCGATTGAAGCGTCAACATCCGAATTCATCATCGTCATCTTCAAATAATCGACAGTATTCATCAGAGGAATTTCTATTCCCGAAACCTAATGATCACATTCCCTGTTGTATAGAAGTTTATCGACATGTAAGTTAGATTTCGTGCTTAATGGACATCACCAGTCTTGTTGTTCTATGTTTTGTTTGTGAGTGTGTGTGTGTTCGTGCCTGCGTGATTTGTCATTAACCCCTATATTTGTTTTGTTTTTTGATGAATATTCAGATATTTCTCTCCGTTTTAATCAAGATGATAATAGCTTTATTCTGAAATATGTGTGTATGTGTGTGTGTCTACGCACAATCCAGTATTTTCGGGGTGTGTTTTTATTGCATGGTGGGTGGGTATTTACCACTTGTGCAAAATCTTCAAGTAACGCGATAATCGCGTAGTTTGTTCACGGTCTCTCTACAATCATCTTTACAATCGTTCACAGTGTACACAAAGTTCTGACCTTATGTTATTGTAATTGTCAAAGCTTTTGTTATGCAAAGCAGCAGAAATGGAATTGTGTCCCTTTGTGTAAACTTTGTCGGATTTTGTAGATCATACGAATGGCTGATGCATCAAATGTTGTGTGGCCAACACCATCCACTCATCAAAGGTGTTCACCTTTAAATGTGAAGTGGACGTTGTTAGTACATAATAGTAATAAATGTTTCAAATAAGTTTTAAAGGAAAAAGGAACGGAAAACAACTAGAAGATGTGTAATCACAAATAACATCAACAGTCTTAATCAGTGGTACATTAGTAAACAAGGAATTAACACTAAAAGAATACACCACCTTCGAATCTTGTATGTTCGCATCTACTGGACAGTCAACAATTTGAAAAGTATCCTTCATTCAAAGCAAACTTACATAATTCGAGTTTTGCATAGTGGGTTTAAAACATCTTCTAACCGTTTTAACCAGTTTATGTGTAGGAGCGACGACAACGACGTTTCATCTTTGGCGACGTCGGTAGTACAGCGGTAGAATGGTTGCCAACCACGAGTGTGGTTGAGGGTGTGATCCCCAGCCTACGCACTCTTTCACCTCACTCGCTAAGCCAGTAATATAACTGTTAAAGGGGAAAGGTTGGGCATATGGCTGGCTGGCTAGCTAGCAACCCCATCCCGTAATGAATAAACACCACTGCTACTGAAACTTCAAGCTTCTAGCTCGAAGTCCCCTATGTTCCACTGGGAACGTAAAGGAATATAAAAAATAAAATGTGTTGGAGAGGTGTGACACACTGATAGAATTTGAGCGTCAAATTAGAATTCATGAACCACTCAATCGAGTCCCAGTGGCTAAAGTGTATACTAGCTTGTAACTGCCTTGTAACCAGAAGGTCCTGGGTTCGAACCTCCTGGCAGTGGGTGTGTACTGTTGATGATGAAACAGCTGTCCAGTTCTCCCAGTGGCTGGTTTTCACTGGTTCTCTGACTGACATCAATCCGTGATCAACTCATAAAAAGTCAAATTGAAATCTCAATGGACTGGAGGAAAATGGGCTGAATTAATTTTTAAACTTTGTACTTCTTTTATTTTAATAAAAAAGAACATGAGTTAAAGTAGAGTTTTGTGCAACTTGAACAACACTGAAAGCCACCATACACCAGAACGATTCCAGTTGATAATTAACAAAGTGCACAAATGAGTCATGAATTATGTACACCTTGACACTAAAGAAGAAGTGTCATGTAAACAATCTAGTCTGGTATTAGTAGTCGCAGTCCTAGTAGCCTGAAATAGTACGTCGAGATATTTTTGAGTTAATGATGAATGTTGTTTTACATACTTTTGACCTTCATAGTTTTATTTCTTGATTTCTTTGATTATTCTTCGTTTTGTCAAATTAAATAAAAAGCAACAAACAACAAATTCTTCTAACCTACCTCACCGACTCCCCACCCGCCCCCCGACACCTTATTAAAGCGCAAGACATGAAAAAACCAATAATAATAATAAGACTAGATGTTCTACGTACTTTAGTCTATTGTGCATAGCTCTTTTCTGTGTATATGTATTTATGTATGTATCTGAAAGAGTTGACTAATGACGGTGAGTGTTGCTGCTATGTCAATAATTAACGATGAGTATAATAATATCAGTACAATAATAATAAAGTCAAGGATAATAAAAGTACAAACATTATTTGTTTTTAATTCAGCCTTGATGTAATGACCAAAATATTTAGCCTCCGTAGTTGTAATAGGTTGGCTCCTAGTACCTAGTAGCACACGTTTCGACGATGTCTGTTGATTATTTAATTTGAAGTAATTTTGCTGGATGGTTGTGACACAATAGCAGTGGAATCCACCGGGATGCGGATTTCATGAGTGAGTGAGCGAGTGGGTGTTAGTGCGGACACCACCGGTCACTGGGGCATGCCTAGTTATCACCTACCTCAACGGGCAATGTTAGCTGACATAGGGTCAGACTGGAGAAGAGCTAGTGGCGGTCAAACTAAAACATGGCACCACTCAATGAAATCCACAACAGTTAGTTTTAGCCAGTCACGTAGGAATGTGTGGACTTCCTGACTGGTTGGGGTCCTCGTGACGGAAAAAACCAATGAAGGCCAGAAACAATTGATCATATGGCTCAAAATCGTTCTCAATGGCTGACTGGTTCAGATGCATCCACTCCTTGTGACTTATGATTTCCAATGAAACTATATCGTTCTTCGTTATTACTATTCCTTTGTCTCACACCTGTGTTTACTGTCTCTATTATGTATTTCCTAAATGCAACGAATTGAGCATCCAGATTATATTGATGTTATGAGCATTGTCTACTATATATTGATTAGTAATCACTATCATTTACTACTTGGACATCGGACATTCAACTTAGTAAATTATTTATGCATGTTTTCAACTGTTCTCCATCGACAATCTATTTGAATATACTATTAGGCGGAATTTTGATGTTAGTGACTCAGTGTTGTTTAAAAACCGTTGATGTGTTGTCAATGACGACCATTCGTTAACTATTATAGATGTATACGGTGTATTGTGGAACCTGAAGAGGTTGTCGGACTAAATATTCTTTCTTCACTAATCAGTCTTGTAGAAATATATAAGAGGCATCAGCTTATATCTATTTTAAGATATCACTGAAACACTGAGTGATTTGTTGTTCTACTCATATTTCAGAGTTTCCTTCCTGGTATATATCCTGTGATATATATGTACTGGGAATCCTATTTGGGAACGGATGGTTGTCGTCTGTGTATCATACCCGAGAGCAGCATCGCTTCAACTATACTATAGACAGAATGAACGAGAATGTCAAAGCTAGTTGGGATCGGTAGGGTAGGCTACATCTGGAAGAGCACATCTAGGTAGTTGGAAATGACAAGCAAAGCGTGGCAGCAGTATATCTCCATTTTTATGGCTGTCGATAATCTTACACGTGGGACTTCACTGGCCAGGTTCTCATTGAATTTCAGCCAAGGGAACAATTGTTTCTTTTTTTAAGTGTGGTCAGTTTCTCTTTGTTGTACTCACTACTCATGTGCCTCCTTGCAAATCTACTAAAATGAATCCTTTTGGACCAGCACAATTCGGAAGTGTACACTAATTCATTGTCTAGGATGTCATCGGTACAGATCCTTCTTCCTCTGTTCTTGAGGAATCCAACCTTGCTATCGTTGAATTCGCTAATCATCGTCTATACTGACATATCTTTTTCACCTGTGCCTTCCATTCTCTCATTCAAAAAAATGACAGTTCTTATGTAGTGTATGTATGTGGCGTCATTTTCATGTCGATCTAGAGAGAGACTGCTATCGTTTGAAATTGTGTGACTAGTTAGTCTAGGTAGGTCGGTCGGTTGGCATAAGAAATGAGACTGGATGCGCTATACGACACACACTCAGTGTGTTTTGGTGGTGGCCATCCCATTTTAACAGGAATAAGTTACACAGTGTATGTCACACTTCTATGTATGTATGTATGTTTGTGCATAGTGTGTGTATAATGTCTGCTTACCTAATCATGCCATACTGTCGTGTCCTAATTCACAGGACGAAAAACAGCGATGCTGCATCCGTGTGTCCATCCATCCATACACACACTCATACATACATACAAATGTGTGCTCACGTTATATTTGGTATTACACACTGTGATCATCGTCATTATTAATACATAGGTGGTGTATGTGTGTTCACTTTGAGTAGACTAATGTTCTAAAATAGACAGAGAAGATATTCTCACCTCGTATGACCAAGTGAACACAGATACGTATACAGATGTATTGTTGTTAATAATCATAATAATAATAATAATAATAATAATAATAATAATAATAGGTGGAATAGTACTTGGTCCACAGGTAAGCGTACATACAAAAAGAGAGAGAGAGAATCCAAGCGAAAAAGTATAAAGAAGAAAAGCCCTCAAAATCACTTTCAATCAATTAGTTGTAGAAATACTTTGGAATGAACAGTCTAATTAACGGTAGAGAAAAGTATGCACTAAACTATTCAGAAAGGCAATACAGACGATATTTCTCTTGTAAATGGACACCTTGCACTCACCTACCCAGCTGTTAATTCATTGATTTTATCAGTGATAAGAACGAAAGCATCACGCCATACACCGATATAGCTAATAGTAGGCGGATTATAAAACAAAAAATAATAAGTAGAATTTTTCATTGTTGTTGTTGGATAGTTGAAGGTAATCGGCTCAGGAAGCCATGCCTAACGTAGGTAGGTAGGTAGGTAGGTACGTGGGTAGGTTTCGTGCTTGTTGGCATTCACTAGTCAACATGGCGTCTCTTTAATCTTGATGGTAGTCATTTCGCTTTCGAGCATTGGAGCCGGGACACTCAAGTGGGACACTGAGAGATGTTATCACTGAGGTATTCAGCGTAGTGGGTACTTTTATTGGACCATGAAGTGGTAACCAGTATCATGCGCCGATTCTTTCATTTTATGCAGACTGAATTGCATCAAGTCAATCAAGTTTGCAATGTGGCCATGATGACGTTGAACTGTGAATTGGTGATATGAGATGATGGTTGGAGGCAAATGTTGATCGATTTGAATCTGGGTAGGTACATGAATTCGATCACTATTACAGATGATGCGCCTCGCTTCACCTAGGGTCGACAAGCACGAAACGTAGTTTCAAGATGTGGTAATTGCCACATGGCGAATTCGACTGATAGAATTCAGTCAGTCAGTCAGTGAGCATTAACACCAAGCGCTAAATGTATGAGATTAGTGTTACTACCTAGTGTCCAATAAGAGAATGTTTCCCTCACCTGTTTTCTTTCACAATCTTTGCTCTACCTCAATGTTCATATGACAAAAGGATATGTATCCACATATATATATGTGTGTGTGTATGGTGGTCTCTCTTTCTGTTTGCTCGCGTAGTCTGTGACCATTTCACTTTGATGAACCTGTCTCCTTAACAATGTATATTCCCCTTATATTATATATAATATAATATGAGTGTTTGTTGACAGTCCGTTGCTTGGTGACATATATCCATATATGGTGGTTGTTGACATGTCTGCTATATTTTGCTATGTATATATATGGATCGACACTCCATTATAATTAGCCATTCATGTTAAGACTGTCTATTGATTTGTTCACACACTTGTCTGGATGGTCATATATATTTCGCTCTCACAATTTGTGTGACTTACTTACTTTGATGTGATACCACTTATTGCTTCTCCTTGTGTTTGGACAATAGAAGTATCATCGCAAACCTAGTGGTCTTCTGATTTCCGCTTTCTTGCGTCAGGACTATTAAATTCTCGACCAGTACATAGCAATAATTTAGCGACGAGTACATAACAATTTGGCGACTGGGAAAACTACTATTAACCAATCAGCAGGAGAACATAACACAAAGATTACACTTTGGCTTTACGCAATACGCCTTCATTATTTTTCGTTATCCTTAAGGATTTTATTAGGTGTTTTATTTATAAATAGTGTCTTGTGAATTATGTTATCTGACCATGTTGTTTCCTCAGACATGGCGGTATCAACGGTCTCCCACATATCGAAATGACTCAACGAGCTCTGTTGGCTTGGTTAGAAGGAGTGTTCTTGCATACGTCTTGACGTGTAAGGAATATTGTTTGCATAGCAGCACGGTCAAACTTGAAGTAGTTTCCATGATTGTGTAGGTGTCTTATGCAGTGTTTGAGAGGCTGCGAAAGTGAATTTTGTTTTGCTGCCGAAGATGTTTCTCTCAGTTGGGTTATATTGCCACCCAACTCAGGTTAACTAGGAGGTTAGAAAACGTCTACTCCATTAATTGTACATCCTGACTTACTAACTCTAAGGTGAACGGCGGGTTTTGATCCTAGTGTGTGACTCTTGATCAGTACCCACCCATCGGGGTTAGTACCCAGGAGTTCCTGCTTACAAGGTGATCTTGTAGTTCATTCAGCCAGTGATGGGACCTAATTCAACGGTCTATGAATTCCAATTTCTGTTGATTCATGATATATGGGGAATTGTGACCAGCGGGGTACACCAAGAAATGAGGTTGTAGGTTGGGCTGGGATGAAACAGCTGTCCTCAATACTCTATGGTTTTCTAATAGTTCTCTGACTGATGTGTCAGCTCGTGACCTAAGTACTCTATTTGTTCTGTTCGCAGGTTAATTTGTTGTAGCACTTAGACGATTGTTTTGTTTTTAAGTGATTCCTCGTACACCCACTTCATCTTTTCTTTCTTTCTCTTCTATTCTGTTTCATCGTAAAAAATTTAATGTAGCTACGATTTGGTGTTTCTCCACAATTTGACGCCCACCTTTTAGAAGCAACTAAAGGAAGCTTAACCTTTACATGTCCTATTTGTCCCACAGTGCTGTGTACTCGTTGGGCGTTAACACAGCATGCATTTTCAGAGCATTGGGTAGGTGTTGGCTTCTTTTTGTGTTCGTTTGTTCGTATGTCGTGTCTTTTACCTTGTAATAATAATTGATTTTTTAGTTTACAGAGTTGTCTGTCTATCTCTGATTTAGAGATACTTTTCTCTGAAGTTAAGTAGCACCCATCGATAATGAAGTGTCAGTTAGTTAGTTGGTTAGTTAGTTAGTTAGTCGATGTTTAATTCAAATTAGCCAACCGGTATATTCACATCACTTTGAAAACACTGTGAAGAGATCCACAGTGTTTAGTTACAATAACAAGATCCGGATTTTAACTCCAATGTCAAATCAATACTTCTTAGTCTGTTGAAGACTTGGTGTTCACGTTACACTCTATAAGTATTTACAACAGGCTATACATTTATATATCTGGTGAAGTAGGAGATACACAGGTGACTGTTTGTGTAGTATTACGATTACTACGCGGTGTACGATAAACGTGCAGTTTCAGTTTAACGGCAAAACATATCGTCATAGCACTAAGCGTCCTCTCGGGCCTTCTTCTGTCAGCCAATATATTTATGCGAATGATTAGAGAGAATTAATTGATGGATAGTGACTAGCAGTGGAGTCTAGCAGGGTGCGCATTTCGTCCTATTAGGGACTCACTCGTCAACTAGCTGGATGTACCTGGATTCCTCAGTGAGTCATTGATGGTGTTCCCACCGTGGCCAGGTGTGCAGTGCAGTTGACATTGTCGTCCGGCGATACAGAATACCGTTGATGGTTCAAAGACTTGAACAGGGAACTATTGTTGGAAAACTGCATCTTGCGTAAATATTGGCAATTTAATGTTGATATTTTGCACTGTATACTTGTATTATCTTATCGTAATTTTGTTATGTGATATGAATTGATTGTTACAAAGAAATAATAATTTTATTTTTAGGGCACTTTATGCTATATTTGTTGTATTTACACATTCAAACCTGATGAGAATTTGCCTTCGTTAGACATCAGTACTGATGATGGGAATGTACAGATGCCAAATGCCTGTCCATTAATGTCATCTTTACCAACTATCGCTTCTTCTTCGTCTTTATCTCCATCTTCTTTGATGTCTTCCTCTTTGATGACCACGAAGAAGATAGCATCAACATCCACAACAGCGACACCGACACCAACGACTGAGATTATCGTGCCACATTCAATGGTAATGTCGGCTAATTTATGGAATCACATTTTTCAGTGCATGAATCAACGCCGTGATCTCCTGAATAATAGTCATCATCATCAACACGGTCCATTTCCTCCAATGTCTTCGTTGTCAATGTCGTCAGCACCATCATCATCATCATCATTGACGAAAGCTGGTCTTCGTATGAATGATGTTGACGACCATCACGACCACCACCCCGACCAGCAGCAGCTGTTCATTAGGGAAATTGGTTTAGACCGTAGTGAAAGTGAGCTACCAAGATATTCTTACAATTATGATAATGGTAATAAATTCTTTTTTCTTTTGGTTGTTGTTAATGATGGTGGTGACGTATGTACATACATCGTACTGATGATCACGTGCGTGACAGTAATATGCACTTGTTGTTTTGCTTTATTGTTGTTTATGAGTATCAATCAGCTTGTTGACTTGACTAAATATGCCACCTACGACTGTGTAACTCATAATTCTCTGAAGACTAATTGGGTCTCGATAAAGGGAAAAGAGATTACAGGAAGGATTTCATCATGAGGTAATATCGGTGGGAGAATGATTGGTAAGCCAGGTATGTGGGAGTACTGTTACTGGACAGCATCCTCGTGAGCCTAGTCTGGGACTCTTCGACGTCATTCATGCACTTACCTCCAGGATTCGAAGTCATGACCTTCTGACCTATGCATTCCAACTTCTATTCCAGTTCACGACATAGCGCAACTGGCACTAGGCAATGTAATGTCATTGGCGAGTGTTTGTCAAACTTTGGTGGGTGCATACCGTTGAGAAGTGTCAAATTAAGTAGGAAGTGGCACTCCAGTATTTCCAGGTTTGACAGTGGTTTTTTATCCTTGTCAGCTGTTAAGGAAATCTTGCAAGCAGTCAGATTGCTGCAAACCAACAGTTGCAAAACAAAAACTTTCAAATGAAGTAAAATAAGTAGAAATGTATGGGTGAGAGTGAGTGAGTGAGTGAGTGGGAGAGAGAGAGAGGTTAGCGTCACCTAGAAAAACATGAGGGTTTTCAGTGTATTCGATGAGTGAATGCATCGCCGATATTGGGAACGATTTTGAAGCATATCACCAACAGTCTCTGTTGGCATTGGTTCTTAGCTTGGCATGGACCTTAACTAGACATTTTACATCTACCTGCCTACCTGCCTAGCTATATATGTGGCTGACCGAAACCCGTACCCATGGACTTGATGAATTGATGTCAGGTTTTTGGTTTCACATCCCTGTAATTCTTTCCAAACTATTCATTTCTTCTATGTCAGCTTGACAAGGAAGATTATGAATCAGCTCGATGTAGAGCTGCCTTAGGACTTCATTGTGACTGGATTTACCCTACTACTACTTGCCTAACACTCTGTACGCCAAACAACCACCTCAGTATTACTCATCATATTATACCAGCGAAGTAAGACAAGACAGAAATCCTTTGGTCAAAAGTAGCTAGTTAGCTTCTCCAAGTCTTTGACTTTCGAAAATGGAAGTTGAAAATTGATTAGATATTTGAAATTGATGATGCAAGATTGATGCATGTTGAGTAGGGATTACATAACATGCATATTCTGATAAACAGTGACAGAGCACACGCCTAGTATTTTGGTGGTGGTACTGTTCCGTGTGTATAAAAGACCAGCCTTCTTCTTCCTCTTCTTCTTGTTAAAATAATCTCAGAAAAATAGCGAGCGAGCGAGCGAGAGAGAGAGAGAAGAGGGTGCAGAATGATGCTGTGTAGGAGATGGTTAAACTGTGAGCCTCCAACCAGGTAAAGATAATTCGACTACCACAAGAAGGTGGTATACTCAATATTTACTGATGATTGAGACTTTACTCAATGTGATGGATGATATGCGCTATCATTGTGACCATCTCCTGGTATCAGAACGAAATACAAATTTAAGTTAGATCACAAACTGATATCAGTTGAAAGAGTCACTGGAAACGGACGTGTATAGGACAGCTGTCTCGTCCTAGTTTTCGACAGTTCAGCAGTATGCACTTATGACCCACTCCACTGGGGATTGAGCTCTCTGGATGTCAAAAGTTGTCTAACTGATGTTAGTTCGTCATCTAACGTGAAACCGATAGAATTCCTACTTCTGCCTCTATTTACGTTTGACGTTAATAAAATTCAGTGGCTGGAGACCGTCGATGGGATGATACAAAATCATTCATAATAGTATTGATGTATTCATTGTCCCGAAGAATCTTATTACTGTTCATCAGAAGTACCGGTGTTGTTAACCATGTGTGTGTTTTCCTTCACCTAGGCCTAGGGATTCCCCTTGATTATTATTTCCAGTCATGTCACATCTTATGCATTTAACCATAATCTTGGATTAATGGCATGAAAGCATAGGATAGTAGATTTCAGGCATTCACATGGTCATAATTACTAACAAATTTCGTATTTTCAAACTTGGTTAAGAATTTGAAGTAATTTGATGAATGATGGTGACTAGCAGTGGAACCCACCCACCTCCCACACACGCACTTACACCATTTGGTCCTATTTGGGACTGACTTATCGACTAGCTGTACCTGCATCCCTCCTCAGCGAGTGATGATTTTTCTCCACTCCACTGAGGCTCTAACCAGTGTTATCATCCACTGAACCACCACCTACTTGATCGACGAGTGCCATCCTCTTGTGCAACAGGTAACGGGTATTAGTTATCATTCAGGGTTTTCTGAAAGCCACTCGAATTGCTTGTATTCCACCTTATTGTCGTCTACATTAACTGACTTTTTTATCAAGTAAGACTAAACTGACCTGATTACTAATTAATTGGCCAGTAATCACACAATTGCGCTGATGATTAGTTTTAGTCTAGTTGTTTGAATGATGAACACTGCTCGGACAAAAGATGAAATTGTATGAACTCTCACTCACTCTCTCTCTCTCTCAATAATCATTTGAAAACAACGAGTACTATTCACCAATGCAACATTTACAATAAATCAGACCTGACAATTAATCACTTGTCATTCAGTCAGTCGGTTAGTCATCCATGTACGAAAATTAAACAAAAGTGCTGAATAATCAATTTAAAAGGTTGTTGGACTGACGCAGTGATGAGTTCTCACACAGGAAAGTGATGAGACTGCCCTACCTCTGTCTTATTATGGTAATGACAGTGCTGATTTTATGAAATATACAATAAAATAAATAATGCTTGTGACATGATTGACAATCGCATTTTTCGAATGTTCGATGAGTGGTGATCAGTTGAGTTTTGTTGCACGTTGATTTATAATCAACACTGACATCCTGGTCGACAATCACCGGAAACATTAGACTTTCGTCCATTGACTGCAGTATTCAATTTAGTTGGACTGAACTGGTGTGATAAATCAGTCTCACTGGTGGTCGATTGATAGTGTGGTGTGGTTGGTTGAAGTGATCACTGCTCGGGTTGAAGACAATTTTATTAACTTGTCTGATCACATATTGAAGTGAGTTGGTGGTGGTCCAGTGGTAAAGTGGTAACTAGCCATACATGTGGTCCGGGTTCGAGTCCCGGTCGGCGCACACCTTTACCTCCCACAGCAGGTTACAATCCCAACAAAGAGGTAAAGTGTGGCGTGAGGCTAGCAATCCCCCTCCCCACCAACCCCTAAAAGACACTACTGCTACTGAAGCTTCACAGGTCGAACTTGAAGACGTATGTCCCACTGGGAACGCAAAGGAGGAATAAAATAAATAAACATAATCAATAAAAACAATCACCCATTGAATACTGATGTCGAAACATAGAACACCAGTACGGAGAAGGCGAGCTTTAAATTAACCAAAAACACTTACGTATTAAATTGAGAAGTTGATTTGGGTTGACCCATTGGTGAATGTCTTACCAGGAAAAGTGAGTCTTTGTCTCGTTTTTCTACCTGTGACCAGTCAATGAAATCCACAACACTTGGTCTAAGCCACGTAGGAGGGTGTAGAGTCGCAGGCTGGGGTCCTCGGGACGGTAAAAATCTATGGTTGGAAACAATTGGTGACATGGCTCAAAATCGTTCTCAGTGGCGCAGATGCATCCACTCCCTGTGACTTATGATCTTCAATGAAACTGTTTTGTATTTTTTTATTACTCCTGTGTCTCACACCTCTGCTCACTGTTTCTCTTATGCTTTTCTTGTACTTTCTTCTCTTGCTTGCTTCGCGTGCTGCACGGAATGTGGCGACTTGAACTTCCGCACATTTGTGCAAAGTTCTGTGTCGAAAACAGACAGACAGTTTATTAATTCCAACCTCTTCCAATTCGCGGTATAGCACGGTTGGCACTAGCCAATGTCACCGGCGAGTGTCTGTCGTCATACTCGACTTTGTGGAACCCCACTGATCTTGACTTCTCACATGAACCTTGGTAACTACCTTCCTGAATCTGGCCAGTCGCTAGTGTCTATCAGGCGAACAAAGCCACCCTGTAGAGAAAAAAACAAACACCACTGCTAACGAAACTTCAAAGCTGAACCTTGAAGTGCCCCCCACCCGCCCCCAATACTCCATTCGTAACGTAAAGGAATCAATTTGTAAACTACCTAATATCGTTGTTTTGTATGAGAAAATTACGATTATTTGTTCTGGGTTATTTGACTTAAATTGTAATACACTACTGTTAAGTGTATTTTCTTGTTCTTCTTTTTGTTCTGCTTCTTTTCTGTTATTGTTGTCAAACAAAAATAGGTTCTGATTGTCATGATCCAGGTGAAAATTTCAATGATTTTGCGCTTACTATTGTGAGTTCACCTGAACATGAGAAGATGACCAATAATGATAATAATGCTGATAAGAAGTGTTCAGATGTGGGTTCCTCTTCAACTCAGATACAAGATATCAATGAAACATATTTATCATCTAATATTTCAACTGACGCCATCTCTTCGACCAGCGTCAGCACCACTACCATTCCTATGACTTCCAACTCGTCGTCATTGTTATCTACCGCTGCTCCTGCTACCGCTATTACTACTACTACTACGAATACTTCTGTTGTTGTTGCTGCTTCCGCTCCTCTTCCTTCATGTAGTAGTGCTATTGAATATGTACATAAAATATTTGATAATAAATCTTTAAAGAGGAAAGCAACAACAACTTCAGAATCTTGTGGAAGTACATCTCATAAACGGTTATCCCTATCATTAAACAAAGGTGATTGCAGCAACGACAACAGCGTACAAGGTAGTTGTCATCGCAGTATTGAAGGTGTTGGTGGTGTTAGTGCTGGAGGTGATGATAATGACGAATATAGTTCAACTAATAATTTTGCTACTACTACTCCTTGTATTGACTGGGGGGCGCAAGAGCAGCAGGTCAGTGGAGGCATATCACGTAGTTGGGATGATACAAATGTTACTGAAATGTAGGTTTTAGTGTAATTTCATGTGTTGTTTTGCAAGGATTTGATTTGATTGTTTACAGGATTTCGTCATGAGCTGGCATCAGTTAGAGAAGCATTGGGAAACCAGCTGGGGGAGTACTGCTCCAAACGGCTGTTCGGTCCTAGTGTGTGACACTTCAGCAGTAGGCACCCACCCCACTGAAGATCGAACCCAGTACCTTCCACTTATAAGGCTAGTAAGCTCGTAGACCATTAAGCCACTTAGCCAGTTCATGAATTCCAACCTCTTCCAATTCATGATATAGCGCGACCACTAATCAGTATTCTGTTTTCCTTATCCTGTATAAAAGGAAGAAATTATCTCAAAGTTGTATACAATATCATTTCTGGAATCATTTACCATTCTGATATGCTTTTCCTTCAATAGAACTTGTATGAGTTCTACTTATTCAGAATAATTATTGCCTTAATGGTGAATTTAGCCTAGTGAGGTATGTGGTAGTTGCGAATAAGGTCTCCACTTGTGTGTGTGTGTGTGTGAATATTAGTTCCTGGGAGGACTAGTCGTTGTATAATTGGTATTAAGACATCAGTACTTCTGTTTGGGATGCATTCTACCAATCCTTTTCTATGATTTGTATCGTACGGTCAGTTCTAGGACCCAACACGTGGTTTTCTCTTCTCCTACGGCGGCGACTCAATTTTTCGTGTAATAAAGATTGCTTGGTCAATATGAACGACGACACCTATTGCTCCAAGTACAGAAGTAGTCGCATTGATCTTTTGTGTGGCGATATTCCGACTGTGTTGCTGATACCACTGCCCTGTTGACATTTTAGTATTCTCAGTTTCCACAGCTGCAGCAGATTCTGGTCATGTCAGTAGACAATTTTGTCATACACTTGATATTTTACTAAGTCTAAGGCAGGGTTTCGATTTGGAGAAGAAAGTATCTAAAAACATCAGCATAATGTACAACTTACCAACTCCTACAGACTTCCTCATATAACATTGAGTGTATAACCGCCATCAGTAATAGCCGCCAGGGAGTACTTGTGAAGAGTCATTATCCCTCAACCACATATGCGTGTGCATTTTCCACAAAAAACTCGAAAAGCAAATCTTGGTGAAACTTGCAACAAAGAGTAACTATGAACCGCATCCATTTGTTATGTTGAGCGATCCGATTGGTCGATTGAAGATTATTTGACTTTGGTGTCGTCTATTCTTTACTGTTCCTCCGCTAGTGTACGGCTAGTAACACTCTGTCACAACAGTATCAGAAGATTTTCTCTTATCAATAAAATGTAAACTTCACCTTTGAAATAATAAGGAGACTTTTTCAGTTCGAAAACAGCTAATCATCTGTGCATGAAATGATGTAAATCAATATAATATATTATAATTACTTTAGTTCCAAAGTACTACTACTTGCAGTCTGACTAGTTGATAACATGTAGTTCAGTATCTTCAACATTCAAGCTCCACTCCAGCAGAAATCCAGAGCGAATATGAGTCTTGTCCTATTTTCGTCTTGTCAGCTGTGCACACATATGTATGCACCTCAATAAGTGGTGGTGGTATTCACGAAGATTACAGAGCCAAGAGGACCACTTTTATGGCAAAATCAGTTCGTTCAATTTGACCAGAAGAGAAGACGATAGTTGAAAATATCTGGTATACTGAAATAGAAAGAAAAGCCAGTCTGGGAAAAACGACGACTAGTATGAATACTTTATTAGACCAAGTATAGGCCATATTGTATTTACAAACCCTCAGCCATGAATAATAAAGTAGACAAGTATGATTAGCTGTATGACATCGAAATCCATGACAAAATTAAGCCACCATAAGTAAACGAATCAGAGACTGTTGAATAGGGTTATCATGCATGGATCATGATGGCCTACAAGGGAAGCTTGTCCATCCTCACAGTCACCGTTTGAATTCCCCGTTGATTAATTTTACTGAACGGGAACGCTCTGTCTCTGGATAGAACTTTCACATTATTTTTGAAGGAATCATAGCATAACAATTCTGTTGCATTTCAAAAGTATTCTCCGCGAATACGGAATGATCCATTTGTTAGTTGTCAACTTTCATGTAGAATAACACAGCAGAAAGAATATCTGACTGCTGAATTACAAGCAGAAGTGTGAGAGTAGTGTTACTGTAGGAGCTGGCATTATGATGACAATGTCAATGAGTGTTTAGTCTTTGCAGTTGTGCATTTTTCCCATCTCATTAACTTTTATTTGACTAAATTGCTCAGTGGTTATATATTTCACCACCACTTGAATAAGTCTACAAGTAGTATCAAGAAATCCCTGTTCATTCGAGATTAATCGAAATGTGAATATGATGAATCTGCTGTCCCTTGTTGTTAGTGCTTAACGAGTAGGTGTCATTAAGGTGGTCTAACAGGATGTCGTCGCCGGTGAGGTTTCACCATATCGTGGGCGTGATGTATGATGACCATCTGTGTGGCACTGGTGATTGCATTAACACTTTATCATCGCAAATTTGACGGAGAATAGAATTCACAGCTGATTAAATTCGAACCTATTGATTGAGTTATTAATGACCAGACCTTGTCAGTCGAAGGGCCCTGGTTTCGATCCACAATGGAGGGGTTATGGTGGTGCACTCTATGAAGACACGCTTACTAGGGACGGGTCAGCTCTCTGTGCATGCCTTTCACTTCTTCTCTAAACAATGTCCATTCGTGAATATGACATCTAAATTTGGAATTTTACTTATTTCAGGTCGGTGTCTGATAGACCAATAATACCAAGTGGAGCTGTATCGAATTCGTCTGTACCTGTGGTAATTTATAAGTGAGTAATTTAGTTATTATGTTTGTTTTCTTTTGACGATATTATGTATCGTTGTGGGTTATGTGTGTTGAGAAAAAGGGATTTCCATCTCGTCTAAATTTGAATCGGTCCTTCGTCATTGGTAGCGTGCTACGCTATGCTTGCCAGCCACCCGTAGGTAGTTGATCTCCAGTCGATGGAGTTCTAGACGTAACTCGCCTCCTAGTGTTTACTAGTCGGTGGTATTAGGTCTGGTAAAGGTGGGAGGTTGGCCGCGACGTTAACAGCCTCCCCCACCACCGTGGAAAATCGTGAGTCTGAAGCTTGAAGCTCTGTGTCGCTCTCGTTAGGCAAGAAATGAAAGAAATAATTTTCAATGGACAACAACAGTTAAGAAGTGTCAGATGGTATCCGACATGTCGTTGTTGTTTTTGTTTCACTACACTCCACATGTGAATGGCAGCTGAGGATGCAAAGTGGCCGCTCCCCATTGGGGCTTTACTAGTAGTATTCTGGCGACTAAATCACTATCCAAGATTGTCTCATTATCATGTGTCCTTCTAAGTGACAGAAAGTACTCATTGAGTCATGAAGCAAGAATCAAATAAAATTTCCATCATCGATGAAGTTATCTTTAAAGGTTTTACTAAGATGTATAACTGCCATTCATTGTTGAGTAGTGAGAGCATGTGTGTGTGTGGTCACAGACTACGCGAGCAAACAGAAAGAGAGACCAACATACACACACACATAAATATATATATGTGGATACATATCAAAGATAAAATGTGTGTGCGTGTTTATATTCATTCCCTATTTCTACCTCGGCCTTATTTATTTATTTATTCATTTGGATCGCTAGTGTTTCAGCTGCTGCTGCTGCTACTACTACGTGTAAACGTCTTGATCTCATCCCTCTTTTGAAAAAGTTTGATGTGATCACATTAACATATGAGCATAGAATACATAATACACCAGTTGATTTGCTCCTGGTGTGGAGTTAGTTGAGTGAGTACATTGGCTGGCTGGCTGGCTGTACCAAGTGTCCGCCTGGCTAGCGAAATAGGAGAATATGTAGGTGCATGTTGACACTTATTGGCGTTTATCTACTTAATTATCGGCGAAGTTAAAGTAGCATAGCCCGAAAAGTGAAAGTCTTTCAAAAGTTGACCACCTTCAACAGTCAATGAGGAGATGCAGTGATTGCTGTGAAAGGTTATTCCAAATTGAATCATGCTTGGCTTTTTGGACTTGGAGAGGGTAGACACAGCATTTTACTTATTCTCTAGGCACTTTCTCTGCAGATCTCTACTGTTAGTTAGGGTTATGGCTTTTTAAAGCAAGCGAGGTTTATGGTGTAGACTTGAGGTTAGAATTAGGATCAAAGTTCGGATAAGGAGTTAGGATTATTGTGAGGGTTAGGAGGTGTTGGTAGGTTAAAGAACAGTGTCACAATGGATCAATGGATCTCAAGGTATCATGGCCGCCTTACATTCATTCACCTGAGTGAATGCATCTATCGAGTATGGTATGATCAGATCAGATCATAGATCATCTGTGCAGCGACTGAAAGACATTCTTACAACACATAAACGACAACTGTATGGTGTAATGTCACGTTTGCAGTGGGTTTTTTCTTTTAGTGCCTTTCTTCAACGACGATGCAACCGTTTTTGTATCTGAATTCTGATGATCGATTGGGTGTTAAAAGTCACTGGAGTTTTGGCTGTGATGTTTTAACTTTGCCTATTTTATCGATTTGTTGTTTACACTCCACCTCTTATTATTTTTCGATAGGTATTTTATTACTCAGAACCCTTTGAGCCATTTCTCCGATATAAAACTATAAACTACTGATTGGTGATTGAGATGAGTAGTAATAGTAGTAGTGGTAGTAGTAGTAGGTAGTTGCATTACTACTCATGTGAACCGAGCAATACTCACTAGCCATCACAGCCGGATCGATATGATCTAAACAGTGGACAGCTGTCTCGCTCATTTTAGACCGCACTCGTCAGCGGCGGTGTACCTACCTACCCTACACCGTTTGACTCAATAGTATACAGCTACTCATCTCAGTCAACCAATCAGCAGTGTGCTAGTTTTCTCGCCTTCCCCTGTGATTACCATTCATGCATAGTATCAGACAGACACCACACATATATTGATCGGAATAACTTGGTCTCCACTTGAAATGTGTGTGTGTGTAAAAATTGCAAACTGCGAATTTCCCGACATACGATGTCACTTGTCGCCTTTTCTCTTTTGTCTTGTCTTACTTATTTGATCCAATAAATGTCAATTGGTCTTTGAAATGTTGTTCTTGCTGTTGTTGTTTTCGTCTCATCAGAACTGTTGTCACCACAGCTTGGCTTTTGTTGCTACACAATGCTTTATTTGCCCCTACTACTACTACTAATCTGAATAATTCTACACACCTTTCTACTAGTCATGCATTCATTATTCTGTGGGGGGCTATTTCTTCTATGTTATTATTATTACACAAGCTATTTTGTTATCACACACACACACACACAGTATGATGTTTGATAATCATTGTCATCACAAATGTATGTGTATTTATGTATTTATATATTTTTGAGGCAATTCACATTACTGTCTGTTTATTGTAATTGAGGTTGACAATGAATTCTGGAGGAACAGTAGTTGATTATTGATTGAGTGATGGTGTTGGTGGTGGTGATTATGCCACAGGATGAGATGTAAGCACTTTTTTGCGAGCAACTAACTGTGACTAACCAACTCACTGACCGACTAACACTGCTCAATAATGTAAGTGTATACTAAGTTCCGGTTGTGTGTCTGAAAGTTCTCATTACATCTTCCTGTCTGTCTGTCTCTCTCCTTCTTTGCCACCTCCACATTCTGTTCGTGTGGTTGTGTAGGCTTTGCTTCTATCATCATCCTTTCGATGCTGATATCATCAGGTAAGAGACAATGTTGAGTGGACCAAATGATGATGTATAGAGCGAGACATGTCACATGTCTGTATGATGAGATTGTACAAGGAGGTGTCAGTCTGGATATTTCCTGTTACACCTGGCGTTCTTGGCCAGGTGGATATTTATCCATTGATCAAACACATGATTGTTTCTGTCAGCATATTTACGCTTAGGCTTCTCATCCGGATACTGCTAAATATGCTTCTCATGTGATGTGCAGGGTTGCATGTTTTCGCTTCAATACAGCGGGGTAGGGGAAATAGGTAGCCAGCTGTACTATTGTGACAACAGAAGACAAGGGCCAGCCAGGCGACAGGTCGTTTATTAAGGAAATCTACACATATTTATAGATTTTCATGTACATATTATAGATTATTGTTATCAGAAAAACACAGTCTTCTGATTGGTGATTGTTTCTCACAGAAAGTTAACCTTGCATCTGTTTGTGGCTGTTTCTTGAATGTCAGATCATCTATATGTTAACTGTATCTGCCTAGGTAAAGTCTTTGTTCTCATTTTTCTCACAACCATTACTGGGGACATAAACATTGACGTAAATTACTGTCCGCCAACTTTGGCTAGCAGCCAGCTCTCAACACACTATAATGGTTGTTGGCGTTAATCAAGCGGTCAGCGCTTCTGTGTCCCAGCATCGGTGTTCCTATTCTATTGAACTCAGCGTATTGTGAACTATACGGCCAAATTCATTCTATTTTCCGAATAGGAAGTTACGGATTATTCTGCAAATTGGGAATTCGATCCAGCGTGTATTACCACTGCTAGTTTGGGGAAGAAAGTAGCCAACCAGAATTTGTTTGATTTGAACTGATGTGGGGGTGGATGCCTCCCTGAAGTGAATCGAGCGCTGCTGCCCGAAAACCGGCGAGACGACCGTCTGTGTTGTTTCGATCTGGCTGGCTGGCTGGCTAGCAAGCACTGTTTGTCGATTTGGTGTCCAACTACTCATACCAGTCAATCAGTAGTCTATGACATCATGTTTTTGTTTTTGGTTTATTATTGTAAAGTAAGCGCTGTGTAGTCATCGTAAGTGGAAAGTTTCAGAAGTGATTCGAGGGGTTTCTATGTGATGAACCGTCTTTAATTAACCACGAAGTCTGTTTCGGTATACGCCCAACCTCTTGCTGTTCCATTTTATGTGTTTAGTTATATGTGTATATATATAAATATATAGTTATATTCTGAACGCGCCCTAACTTTCCGTCTTTGTGTGCGTTTCCTTTTCATTCAAATCCATTCAACTAGATGCTACCTGTGTCGAAATAAAAAATATCCTCTTCGGTCTTCATGTCTGTTTCATATGACCGTTGCTCATGGACTTGGAACGTCAGAACTGGATTGGAATCGTATGATTGAAACAAATGATGGTAAGGAAGTGAGAATTTTTCTTTTTCTTGTTTTTGTGTTTCTTTCATTAATGTGTATTTTGTAAGCTGAAACACTCTGTTGACGACGACTGTGTGACAAGCTTTGAGATAGCTTCTTGAACTCTCTTCCTTGCTTCCTTCCTTTCTTCGCCCAATTGACGGTTAACAACACGTTATGTGATAACTAACATGCACTTCTACTGTGGACGACAGACGATGTAGTTGATGATGGTGTATCCTCTTTGACACCGACTTAGTAGTCTCTTTAGCTGATGTATCACTTTGAAAGATGCTTTTATTGATGATGTATAGACAGACTCATTGATGACAACGTTTCAACGTGTACAAATTTTCACTGAAACGTGTTGTAGGTAGGAGTCAAAATAGTCGCACACTCGTCCATTTAGCACACAAAGGAGAGTGAAAAGAAAAAGAAGGATTTAGAAGTGTAGCATAATAAGTGGAAAATTTGGGGGAGAAGGAATAGTAACATGGAACAACAACAACAACAACAAAAGGGTTTTTATAGATATGAGAGACCAGATAGAGTGAATTGAATTCATCTGTGCTACTGAGAACAATATTAAGTCAGGTGTCAGCAATAGTCTCCAGTCAATGATCATGTTTCACTACAATAAAGGAGGGATGGAGTGAAGTGTGGTACGCACAGAGTATACACATCCTTTGATCGATAGTCGACCGGATATATCACGTCTATGCGATAGATGTCTTTCAATTCAGTGAATACCTCCACCTCACACACACACACACTCAAGCCTTTTGTATCTGTGTTGAGGTCAACCCATTGAAGGTGATGTGTAACTTCCCAAATAAGTGAAGCCTGAATGTAATGAATAAAAGGTGGTCAAGAACTGAGTCATCAATGAGTCTGCCTAATTCCTCCTTTCGACAACTATATTGAGAGTTTAGTTACAGGATTTCATCGTGGGCTGACATTAGTTAGAGAAGCATTGGAAAACCAGCTGGGAGTAGTGGACAGTTGTTTCGTCCTAGAAGTACGCGTCCACCGGGACTCGAAGCCAGGACCTTCTGGTTACAAGGCTAGCGAGCTCGTATACCATTAAGCCACTGGGACCACAGCACAAACCAACACTTGAATATCAATGAGATGCTCACTAGGGACTTGACCTATTTAGGTAGGTAGTTACCTGGGGTTCTAGTGAGAAATCGTGACCAGTAGGGTGCAGCAGGTCGCGCTATGTTGTAAATTGGCAGGAGTTAGAATTCATTGACTGGCCATTGGATTGGGTCCCAGTGGCTTAATGGTCTACGAGCTCTCTAGCCTTGTAACCAAGAGATCCTGGCGGCGGGTGCGTGCTGATGTAGAGTCTCAAACTAGGACGAAACAGCTCTCTGGCAGTACTCCCAGCTGGTTTTCCAATGGTTCTCTAACTAATGTTAGCACATGATGAAATCCTGTAGCCAATCAACCAAATACCTGCAAATCAACACTTGAGTATATTGAGAGATGTTGTTGTACATGTCTAGACCACATCACACTTGTACATCTACACTGATTTGATTCCTGTTTTGTTTAAATTCAGTTACTCTGACTAAGTCTTCAATGTACACCAGGTTATATGAGCTTGATGTGAGAGAAGGCTGATAATATTATTATTACTACTACTACCCAGTGGTGTCCTAGCTCTGCAGTAGGTCGACGGGGATTTGAACCTTGTGATCCTCCCACCTGACTGACTGCAAGCAGCACAGTGCTGAGAGTGGCGTGGTCAATGAGCCATCCATCTACTTTATTTGCTGCAATACGATAGCAATATAGAATTGACTAGTTTACCTGGACTGATGAAGATCTTGCCTAGAAAGACAATGAAAGCTGTGCAATTAAATCAATCCAATTTGAGAGAAGTCATCAACTCAACACTACACCAATTATACCATCCTATTTTTGTGGATTCATCAGTTGGTTTTGTACTTAACTAAACTGTTGAATGTGTGAGGTGTGGAGGGGGGGGGTTGCGCTCATGAAGCCAAACACTAATTGTTTGAAAGAGAAAAGCAACAACAACACACTTTGACTGAGTTAATTAAATAAGCCACAAGGAAATAAGTAAATGAAAACCGAATTAGTTCTTGAAAATGAATCTGATGCTCTCTAGTTAGTTAGTTGCCTGGTGGAATTCAAATGAGAGAAATCATGTGACCAATGAGGCCTACCCGGTTGTCGGAAGTGTGAGGACAAATACTGACCAGCGTTGACATTAGCTAGCTGGTGCGCCTAGTCAGTCAGTCAGTCGCGCTAAAATCACGAATTGGTAGAAATCAGTCAGTATTCATGGGTGGTTGGCCATTGAGTGTGTTGGGTCTACAAGTTTGCCTTGTAACCGAAAGGTCCTTGGCCCTAACCCTAGCAGTGCAGTGGGGTACATACTGCTGGTGAGTAGTCCCAGACTGAACTAGGCTGACGAAACAGCTGTGTTCAGTACCAGTACTCCTGATTTGTTTCCGATGGTTCTTTCTGTAAGTGATATCAGTCGGTGATGGTGGATCTTGAGAGAAGCATGAATGGTGGAGGAGGAGGAGTATGTTGCTGCAGTCGGAACACTTCTGTATTTAATTGATTAATTTTTGTTTGTTTGTTAACTTTTCAACACAGTCCCATCTTCTACTCCTCCAGCTGGACCTAAAAACAATAACCCTAATTTGTTGTCGTTGTTGAATAATAATAATAATAACCCAACTACTTCTGGATCCGCTTCAACAGCACCACGGACGACGACGACGTCATCATCATCGTCGTTGACGTCTAGATCAGGTGAATGTGATCGTGAAGAGAATGCCAAGAAGAACAGCAGCAGCGGCGGCGGTAATCGTGTGGGTGTTGTTCTCGGAAAGATATTCCTTTGTAAACTTTGTAATAAGGTTTATAAGTCACGACGTAGTTTATTAAGACATAAAATTTCACATCATGGACAGGCGGATAGTCAGGCAGAGGCGGGCAGGCAAACTGAGTGATTGATTGGTTGGTTGATTGACACATTGACTCATACGTCTTTCTCCATTGTATGTCTATTACTGTCTTATGCACAGTTGTTATGTATACATTACATATATATGTATATATACAGTTTGTACAGACACACAGACATAAATGTATGCGTTTATTTCCACGATGCATTTGTTATATATACATAGTTTTTTAACGATTATAATTGTACATACACACATAGATACAGGAACCCGAAATTCAGATTTATTCATTATTATTATTATTATTACTAATACTCATCGGTTAGATTTCAATTATAAAATTTGAATAAAGCGTTATTATTGTTGTTGTTGTTTTTGTTAGTCTTGACTTCAACTTCGTCTCTTCTAAAAGAGAGAGAGAGAGAGACAAAGTGATAAGAAATAGTGAATAGTGGAAAACCGGTGTTGGTTGAGAAGTCTCTGATCCATTGATACATGCACGTTCTTTCATTTATTCAGATTACAGGTTAATTTCAACATGGATGATTTCTTCACAGTCTAACAACATTTAGAAAGAATCGCTAGAAGGCCTACAAAACAAAGCATAGATGACTGGCTTTTGGGACTTTTCACTAGTAATAAATAATATGATGATGACCTGACCAACGATGAGCTCCACGATCTTGAAGATAATTCTGAGGTCAGGTTGTTGATCATTCTGCAACCAGTAGTTGTGAATGTGATAGACTCATGAATTCATAACTTTTGTCTGTTCGCAACGTAGCGCTCGGTGGTGTTTGCCCTAATGGTAGAATGCGCTCGCCAACCACCATCATCATCACCACCATGCATGTGGTGTGGGAAGTTATCTTTATCTCGTGAAGCCAGTATTAATTCCAGTAAAGAGAGGGAAGTTTGAGTGTGGAGAGGCGACTAGCAGCAATCCCACCGAGTGAAGATAAAACCATTTTGCTACTGAAACTTCGAAGCTGAAGCTCGAAAGACAAACAACAAGTGTGGCGTCTTCGTTAACCAGTGTGTCATCGACGGAGATTTTTTTCAATCTGTGATGTGGTCATGAACCTCACCCACCCAAGGTTAATGTTTAGGAATGTCGTGAGCCAATTACGAAGTCTTTTGTCTCATATGATTACTAGTTAACTGTGAAGTTTGTATCGTTTTGAAACAATAATGCGTGTTCTGTAGTTGATGGTGGTGTGTCTACTTTTGTACTAGAGGGTTTGTGTTCTACTCGATTCTCTGGAGAGAGTGACTTTCCTCGTCAAACTGTTGAAGCAGTATTCCTGAGGTTTTGGTGGTGCTTTATACCTGCTTGTCAGTGAAGTGTATCTGCAACCTCCTAGGAACTGGTGTCCCTTTGAAGATCCGAACCCGTGTCAGCCAGTGTTTGCAGTCACATACGTTACCCACCGCTGAGAAATTCGGCCTGATGATTGATCTGCTGCTGAACTGAAAGCTATGCATTTGATTAGTCAGAAGGGTTTGAGACAGACTGATTTGTAGATGTTGAGATCATTCATGAAAATTGTCAAGATTTATCTGACATTCGGATGAATGAAATCATTTTGTCCTAGTGTGGTAAGTGCTACTTATAATCAGATATAAGAAGTAATATATCAATAAACGAATTCAGAAAAGTAACAATACGTTTCGGACACTGGAAAACGCAATCGAAGAAGAAAACTGTAGGAATGACGTTAGAAACACCGTGTAGAATCCAACAAGCTATCGAATGTGGTGATATTCGACCAATTTGCAAATGATGTGCAATTAAAGCATTGAAGAGATGGTATACCAAATTAAATTTATGCACCTACAATGCGTTTGTCCCAATAAACATTCCTTCGAGCCTCGTCGGTCTTTTCTTTTTTACACTAGTAGTTCTGTAGGTAGAAGAATTAGGTTTAACATGCATCAGTGCAAGGGAGTAGTGGTTCTCGTGAAAAAATTTCTCATATATCTTGGTGTGTTACGTAAATATCTTCAGTGCGTAAATAAACCAGTATGATATGTATGTCATTCAAGTGTTAAGGACGACGATAATTTTTGATGGTACCTTCATCCGTGGGTATTTAAGGTGTTTCAATATATAGGCTTAGTTAAGCGTCTAACAAACCGAGTAGTAGTACTAAACAGCACAAGAAAAGACCTAAATGGTGAAGTGGAACAGATAGAAGAGGCGTTGGTGTTTCATAAGGAAGATTAGAAAAGTCCAAAAGCAAAAAAAGGACACTGTTGGTTGACCCAATTAGACAATATAATCTACAAGATACCCTACAATGACTCTGAGTTACGTCAACTACATAGGTGAAACTAGTAGGTCGTGGTTAGTAAGATTACCGGGACATAAGGACCTATCTGAGGTAAGAATGGTTGACCATGAGAAGATAAGTAATTTAGAAAAAAGCTCAGCAATTGCACTTCATGCATTAACAAACAACCACACAGTAGGAAGGGATAGGGTTGAAATTCCAAGAAGTAACATTACACCACGAATTTGATTCATACCTTGGATGGTGAATCTGTCGTTTTGATTTGGTTTTTGTCTACGTGGAATAAATACAGTGGTAATTGTGGGCGTAGGAACTTGAATCGGTACACATGGTGGTTCGCGGAAACGTCATCATTCCCTCGTCTCTTAGATGTCTATAAGGCTTTGCTCTCCACCCGCGGCTAGACAGTAAATTGTGACCTTTCTATCAGTGATACAGACAATGAATTAAGAAATACACTTGGGGTCAGTTAATGTAGATCTGTCGAATGCAAGTCCTCCAGGAAACCGGCGATTATTCCCTTGAAGATAAGAATACGTGTTATAGCACTCTTCCAGATGAGTGATAGGTGACAGAATCACTTATCTCAATAGGCTACAACAAATCCATCTGGGATAAAATGAAACCAAAGCTCGGTACAATGTCTTGATTTGCCACTGTCCATTCATATGGCTTTACCCGAAGTGTTTTCACATATGTTGAGAGAAGAACTAAAAATGATATTGTGGCTACTCTTCTTGATGGTGATGAAATACAAGGCTGCTGTTAAGGCTTTAAAGGTTGACGGATATCTCGTTCAACAACTTCTAATTAATTTATTCTCGCGTACCAAAGACAAAGCAAAAGCCAATAATTGATCGTCCAAACCAAGCGATATATTTAGGAGCCAAAACAAGCCGTTAGACGAACGCTTAGCTAGCTAGTGATCGTGCACGTGACACGACGAGGTACCAAATGGCGAGGATGCTTGACCGGAAGCCTTCAGCTAAACAAGTCGACTTAAACAGTGGTGGTCAGCAACCAATGAGTGATTGCTGTGGTCAATAATTGTGGGGAATTATTTACCGCTACAGCTCACTCCCCCCCTAGTGGGGTCGTGAGGACCCTAAGACAGAACCAGCCGGAAGTAAATAAACTCGATGGTTCCCTTTCGGGTGAAAAAAATCTTCCGAGCGGCTTGGTCTTATGCCTACTGGTTTGTCTGCCTGTGCTAATAGAATGTTTGTACATAGCTTCCTTGTTGTTGTTCGTTGGATTCCGTGCTTCGTTTGTTTCCCGTCCAGTGCCCGTCGCACCTGGAAAAGAAAACAAGAACGCTAAGAACCATGTCGAGGAAAATGTACGAAATGACCTTTTTGGTTAAAAAAAATTATGTGCATTTACTATACAGTAAAATAATGCTAAGTTCAGAACATCGATAAAAAAAATAATTCTAATTAATTTTTTTTGTGTATGTTACATGAACCGTTGTAAAAAAAATTTTTTGTGTTTGGTGGTACTGTATTTAAAAAAAATTTATACGTCAAAAAAAAATAGTTAGTACCACAAACGAGTGAGTTGCATGAATCACACGACTTCGTTAAGTCAAATAAGTGTGCAAATGTTCTGGGAACCTTACGGTGCGTCCAGAACGGTTTTTCTTAGGAGGCTCAACCTTAGTAGCCAGTGGGCGAATGCCCTTGCAGTCAATAGTGTGACCCAGGAAGTCGAGTGAGTCTACACCGATTTGACACTTTTGAATATTGATGGTAACACCATGTTGGCGTAACCTGTCAAATGCCAAGTCCAAGTGCCTAAGGTGAGTTTCCTTGTCTGGACTGGCAATGAGGCAGTCGTCTAAGTATGCGTATACAAAGTCGAGACCGCGAAATACTTCGTCGATGAAGCGTTGGAATGTTTGGGCTGCATTCCGGAGACCGAATGGCATACGTAGAAATTCAAAAAGTCCGAAAGGCGTAATGATAGCCGTTTTCCGGATATCTTCTGTTGCCATCGGGATTTGGTTATACGCTTTAACCAAGTCGATTTTGGAGAATATAGTCGCGCCGGATAAGGTTGCCGTTAAGTCGTGTATATGAGGCAATGGGTAGCAATCAGGGGTTGTTTTGGCATTCACTCGCCGGTAATCACCGGTGGGTCGCCAATCGTTGCTATCCTTTTTCGGAACCATATGAAGTGGGGATGCCCATGGGCTATTCGAAGGTCGAATGATGCCAAGGCTAAGCATATGGTCAAATTCATTCCTGGCGATACTCAGTTTGTCGGGAGCTAATCGTCGTGCTTTAGATGTCACAGGTTGTCCTGTGGTAATGATGTGGTGCATAACATTGCTGGTTATGCACGGTAGGTCATTCGACGGGCAATTAAGTTCCGGATACTTGTCAACAATAGGTTGAAAAGTTGGATCAAGAATTGCCTTTATCTTAACGGGTGACAGACTGGGGCCTATGTAGCTGATGCCTTTGATAGACAGACTAGTAGTATTGTCAATCAGTCGTTTTCGGCGGACGTCTACGAGTAAATCATGATGATTAAGTAAGTCCGTGCCAATAATGGGCATTGTAACGTCAGCGAGAAGGAAAATCCATCGAATAGGTTTGCGTAAACCTACGTTCAGATAGACGTATTTCCTACCAAAGGTTGCGATTGGTTTTCCATTTGCAGCCTGTAAGTTGAAGGTAGGTTCCTTCTGTCGATCTGCTGCTGTAGCAGGAAGGACGCTGACTTCGGCGCCTGTGTCGACTAAGTATCGAGTCTGGCTTATCACATCATGGATGTAAAGAAGGCGGCTAGTGCCACCGGCGACGGTTGCCGCTAACGCGTGCTGGCGGGATAGTTTCCTGCAAACTTTGAGACATTTCCGAAGTTACAAGGCTTACGACAACACTTCGCTTCTTGGCCAT